CCACACGAGCTTGACATTTAAGCCGAAGATGATGCCGAATAAATGTTAAAAGCTTTGCAGGCGTACGAAAAAAAATCGGATGGCAAACCAGAAAAAACAATAATCATAATAATGATAAACATGAAACCACAAAAAGCAGACAGAACCGGCAAAAGAATGCCATTAAAACAAAAGGGAGACGAGACCCTGAAATACCCTGAAATTTTAGAAGGTGACGCCACCTGGTGGCTGAAGTGTCGCCACCTGGTGGTAGGCGATTTCCTGTGACAGGAACTTGAAACCTGTATATTGATAATTTAATACATATTTTCTACATATTTTGTTATATAATCAATCCTTAAAATAATAATTAAACACTTTCCTTGCCCATTTAATATCTTAATTTTAAATATATTATATATATTTAATATATATATATATATATATTTATTCAGGAAACACCTTGGAATTTTTATTATTAATTGGAAGCCAAGCACAAAGGATTTCGATAATAATATTTATTTTAATTCAATAAATAAATTAAATTGAATGTGAGTTTTAAATTAAAGCGACACTAAATAATTATATAATATTTAAACAATATTAAAAACCACAGATGGAAGGGGCTCCAGAGATATAAATTACAACCCAAGCTCCTGTAAAATGTATTCGTGTCTAAGTTTATAAATCGTAACAGAAAAAAATGGATTTAAAACTACTGCAACTAATGTTGGCAAACTATTCGGTTTCACATGTGGCATAATTACTTATTTTCTACGAAAAGAAAATGCTTTTTTTGAGTTGTTTGTGTGTTTCTCTTTCTTCTTATATTTCCAGGCGATAAAAGAATAGCCTAAAAAATTCTGTTTTTGTGACACCCATTGTAACGACAGTGGGTCAAGTCAGATCAATTAGTGCAGCAACTTCTTGGAATCGACAGGGAATGTTCTTCGGAGTAAAGAACAAGTCGGGATTTACATTTGAATAGCTGGGGAACTTGAAATATTGGGCGCGCTCTGCCCGCGGCATTTTTTGTTCGGTTTTTTCCGATTTTTTTCTGTTTGGAATCTGGAAACTGGTTACACTTGAACCTGGTATTTCTCCGTTTTTTTTTTCTTTCGTTGTTTGGAAATATTTGAAGCGGCGCTTACCCGTTGTTGTTGTTGCTGCTGCTGTTATTGTTGCTGCTGGCCTGCATTCGCCGCTTATTGCACACTATTTTCATTACACACACACATCGAAAAATAAAAAACAAAAATCTGAAAATTCGGAAAGACAGTTTTGCACTTTGAGAGATTTTTATTGGGGTATATTTTCCATATATTGCACACGCACGATGGCTGTCTTTTCGTTATTTCTCGTGTTTTATTATCTCTGTTTTTTTAGATATGGAATTGATCGGTTTGGAAATATTTTCAGTACTCGCCGCGCGTACAACCCATTCAAAATCGCGCTGGCAACTGAAAACCGCAGCAACAAAGTCGCTTTGGGTTGGCGTGTTTCGCCAGGGATTGTTTTTTTTTTTACTTCTTCTTCGTGTAGCACCATCTCTTTCTGCCACACAGTCTCCATCTCTTTCTCAAGCCAGTTGTTGTGGTTTTTTAATTTTTGCTTTCAAGAAACTCACAAAAAAGCAGCAGCCGCAGAAATTACCTGAAACAAAAACAAGAAAGCTGCACTTTCGACAAGCCAAGAATTAAATACCCTTCCTATTGTAGTTTAAATCAAATTTAATAAATATTTATTTCATATATATTTTAAGTTCGATTTGAAGCTGAAAATATTTTAAAATATTATTTTATAATAATTAATTATATTGTGTGATACAACTATGTTATATGTTATGAAATTGATGTCAAAAGCGTATTAATTCAGTTGTAAAATTAAAGGGACATTCGCAAGCTAAAGGCTTTAAAGAAATTGTAATCCTTCTCTTAAGGTTTCAATACTTAAATTGGTATTCATGCTATTTCAATTCTTGATAAGAAATTAAATATTAATATTAAAAATTTTGAGTTAAATTTAAGCCGTAAAAATCGTATCCCTTTTTAGTACAAATTATTATTGTAATATTCTAAAAAAAGTTCTTTTGAAAAGAAACCCTTTTCCTTACAATTTTATACGTTAACTTCAATTTATGTAGTAGAATTTATCCAAACATTTTTTTAATAATTTTTTTTAATTAATTTTTTTTGTTACAAATTGTCTGAAAAAATCAAATTACCCTTTCGACAAGTACTACAACTATGCGGCGCGAGAATTTGTTTACGTGCGCAGGCGCAGCCGCTGTCGACGTCGCTGCTTCTGCTGCCGTCGCAGTCGCTGCCTCTGTCGACGTCAACGTCGGCACTTGTCCGCCGCTTTTATTATTGTTATTGTTGTTAGTGCTGGTGGCGCAGTACTCGTTTGTTGCCAAAGTTAATTGTTTGCTGCCGCAGCTGCACAGTGGAACATCGAGAAGAGCGGGGCAGCACAGTGGGCACTCGAATGGAATGTGGCAAGGCCTCAAACTGGTTTTCAGTTTTCAATTTTTAGGGGCTCAGGTGCCGCGATTGAGACTTCAACTCTGGAGCAGGAATTCCGCTGGCATATCAAAACCATTCACAGGTAAAATCGGTCGAGTTTTAACCGAGAAATATGAATGTAGGAAACGTTTATAGACTCTCTAGAAACCTAAACATTGTATATCTAAAATGAATTACTAGAAATTTTGTGTTTTTGTAAAAAGAGTTTATATAATATATATTAATTAATAAATATTAAATACAAGTAAATATCAAAACGACGCATTTTAAAAACGTTGTTTTTCAATTTAATTTTTTTGCTTCTACTTTTTTAATCAAAACTGCACAAATGGCAAAGCGATCAAAAGAAGACAGTCAAGTATTGTTGGGTAAACTAAAGTCAATATTGATGGTAAACATGATACATCCAAAATATATTTTTTGGGGGTACCACTTTTTTATTGTTGTCTTAAAATTTTAAAACATATCGAAAATGTTTCAAAGTGATTTATTGCCCAAACTCGTACACCATATAAAAATATCTATCTCTGTCAAATATTTTGCGTTATAAATAATGCATTTTGACCTAGTATCTTTCCACTTCCCACGCGATTTTGCCCACTGTGCATGCCACTGGCGGTCGCATAAACGTCTTTGGTCTTTTTTTTATTGTGTTGCTGTGGCTGCATTTATTTTTTTTTTGTGGTCTAGCTATTGCATTTTTTTTAACTATGCATATATCTATCTTTACCTGTGCCGGTGCTATCTCTTTCTCTCTCCGTTGCCTCTCTTTCTTGCCTTTTCATATAACAAATTTGAGTGCATTGTTATTTATGATTTGTTATCCCTTGCAGAGGGTACAGTATTATTTGTGTTTCAACTTTTTTAACAACAAACTCCTTTATTAAAACTATGACTAACAAGTTAAATATATATTTTAAATACCCTCTAACAGCGTTCTTATATAAGTCAGACGTGTTTTTAATGCACTTTTTAAGCCATAACAAAAGTAAGTAACCACGCAATCAAACATTGCTGCCTGTCATGTATTTATCAATATATTTATTTAATATAACACTTATTAATGCTTCCGAGTACGATATTGATATTGAATAAATAAAATTTTAACAGGTGATAAAGGTTATTGCCATCCAGATTAAGAATTGAACAGTTTGGTAAAATAAAGGCTTAAGCAACTTTAAAGTTTAAATGTTTAAGTTTTTATTGAGAATTTTTTTGTGTCCCCACTTCTATGGGCCATATTAAAAACCGAAATTTCCGCTTATATTTATAAGTACAAACAATAAACAAAAACTTTCCTCCATGCGGCTCCGCTCGCTGAACAATTGCCAATGGATTTGTGCTTTTAATTACACTTAATACCAAAGTGTTTATGCAAAGGAAAAGAAGAAACCGAAAGAAAGACGCCTCGAATTTGTGTGCAATCAACGGAATGTAAAACGCGGAGTATGCAGAAAGTACGAGTGCAGCTCAGCAGCAGCAACATGCAACAGGCACTGCAGCTTGTAATTTACCGCTAATTCGATGTGAAGTGAGACGTCCGACGATGGCGACCATATACCGCCCGTACCCGGTCCGCTCGTACCGCCCATACCGCCCATCTCGGTGGCCACTTGGTGGTCACTTGGCCAGTTTGTTTCCGCCTGTTGCGCTCCGCTGAAATCACAAGGGCTGCTGCAGGCGTTGCCCAATGCAGATTACCGTTGCGCATGCCCACAAACACAAGTGCACTGAAAAAAACTAGAAACAAATTATGAATATATAGGCACTTTTTAAATGTGATAAAACTATTTTACAAAGCAGGGGTGCGCAGAACTGCTGGCAGTGCTTTTACCGTTAGAAAACACTCGTGGAGGCGAGAAACAAAGACAGTGTAGAGTCAAAGAAAACAAAACAAATTGGCGATCAAAAAAAAGGTAAATGAAATTGTTGTTGCCTTGCCTCGGTCTTATCAGCAAAGAAAAGTGACCGCAAGGAAGAAACGAAAAATTGTTAGTGTGTCGAATTGTGCCTAGCAAGCTAGTGTGCAGTTACAAGAACAAATGTAAGCACAGTGAGCACATAGGCATGAGCACCCGTGGTACAAAGTTTCTCAAAAATAAACATTTTTGATGAAGAGCTATTGATGTTTTTTTTTTTTTTTGGTGAGTACAAAACTGAAATCCATTTTGACAGTCATGAAGAAATTAAAAACTTTTTAAACAGAAAAATAAAAATGTTGGGAATATTATTTTTCTCTGTGGACAGAAACTGGCCAGGCTTCACTGAACTTGAAGCACTTAAAAGGAACTTTATAAGTTGTTGTGACTTCTGGAACTGCAAGGGAGCTTTGAAGTTAATGGAACGTTAAAGGTAATTATTAGATTTTTAAGATTTTATATAAGATGAAGAACGGCCAATTAGAAATAAAGTAGGACCCAATGCAAATTGAAAAACAAAATACATAACTGAATAAATCCCATCATTTAAATTTTCCAATTGAAATACATTATGAACTTAAATTTTATTTTGTTTATTGTCATTTAGTTGGAATTTTCGTTATTTTTATCAGTTGCGAATTAAACATTGGTAAATTATGATACGTGGTATAATCTTTATCATCGTTTCATGTGTTCAGTACGAATGAGTGAATTTTACATCAATTACGAGACCCTTGAAAGCGAGTAAAATAATGATAACAATATAGTAATAATAATAGAATCTCTTCGAGTAATTATATAGTTATTGCTTCGACGTAAATATATTTATGCTTTTGTTTTATACTTCACTTTTTGGATTTTTTCAAACTGTGGGTTGTGTTGTGTTCTTTATATATCGCATCTGTTTCGTTTTGGTTTAAAACTCGTTTCGTAGGGGTTCTTTATTGTCAACATCAATAACACTTAATACATGTATAATATATGTTTTTTTTTGGCTCTAAATAGATGTGTATAATATATCGATGTAAATATACCATAAATAAATGTAGAATTTATAATACAGTGAAATCAATTGCTTTCTGGGCGAGTGAATTGATTTAAAAGGGTTTTCTATTTTGCTTGATTTTTAAAATGGCCGTGTTCCTTGGAAAATAAAGTCCAAAACGTGTACATGATCTTTTAAAACGAATTCACACACCCGATAGCAGCATTTCAAGACCCATAAATATATTTTTATTTATATTCGTTATTTTGTATAATAATAATTCTTTAATGCGATGATATGGTGAGTCATAAAACCCAAAGCTGCCTTCTCCAGTTATGTATAGTATATGTATATAGAGTTCCTTTTCCACCTAGTTGAACGGTTGCGTTTGCGTTTTGTTAATGTTAATGTTAATGTAAATATATATATATACCATATAATCTCGAGTGTGTAGATCATAAGTACAATGGAGTGGAGAGCTATGGCGATGAAATCGGATATCAACAAGTAATTTTAATCGTATAGCTTTTGATTGGAGCAAAACATAACATATCTCCCATGCTTCCATTTCTCTATAACACTGAGACGTTAAAGTGGTTTGTTAAAGTTTTAAGCATAGTTTCGGATGTGATATGATTTCGTCTGCACGAGCAACATTATCCTCGATAAACAACAGTAAACACAGAAAGCCGAGCTGATCACAACAGAGAATGAACTGTGCTAGGTATAAAGTCAAAGGTCAAAGTCACTATATCATAATTATATAGGTATATATCTCTTATAGGTGGTGCTCTATGCTCGCATGATATGGTCAAATCAAACAATTAAGTCTAGAATACAGCGTAGTTATCGTATATAGATATATCGTATATAGTCAGCAAGTCGTGCATTTTGCATTTTGATGTGGCAAAGAGTGCGGTTTCTCTTTGCTGGCGAAATCGGATATGTAGACCCTATAAGGGTGGCCCTTTCGAAAAAGAAACCCAAAAGTAAAGGTAAAATGGTTTAATGGTAAAATGGTGAACAATAATCGCATATATATATGGCCACATGGTAATGAAGTTATGCGGAAATATTTCCATTGATTACGGCCTTTGTTTTAATGTTTTCTGATTTTCTATAGCTTTCTGCTTGAATGAAACCGCGCATCCAGCGTCGAGTTTTTACCTACTATTGCTATTTTCCTATTTTCCTTGTTGTGGCTGCTTTGCTTTATTTGTTATGTTTTTTTAACAGTCTTTGGGACCATATAGGAGTGTTTTTTATATCGACGCCGCTAACATCGGTGAGTGCTTAGTTATTGTCCATATTTACATCGATATTCGTTATATTTCATTGGGTTCTGATCGGGCTTATTGTCGTTGTTGTTCATTGCGATTGGGGACCCCTTGGGGCCTACTCCTCCTCCTCGAGGGACTTCTCGGGAAGTCCGTACTTGGGGCAGCACATGCCCTCCGTTCCGTCCATGTTGAAGCAGAAAATGCTGCGTTCCAGTTCGGTCGGCTCGTGGGGCACAATGCCATGGACCTCCCTGAGCTCCGCCTCGGGGAACCAGGCTGGATCCGAGTCCTCCACCACCTTGATGCCGCACAGACTGAAAGCCGCAAAGTGGATTAAACTTAAATTAAAATCAATCAAGTTTGGAGCCTTAAATAACATTAATTCCTGTTTTACAGACTAATCTACATTCAAATTAGCATACAAACTGTTGAGCCAATTTATCGATTATTAAATTATTTAAGATCCAGAAATCAATTCAATCTGTATTGATGGCTTTGTAAATATTTCATAAACATGTTCAAAATAATGCCTAAATAGAAGAAGGTATTATTTGCCTTTTATGACTATTTACAATTGAAAAAATAAAAAATTAAAAAATCGACATTTATTGGTTATTAACTTAATAAAGATCCCGAGATCATATAAACCCATTTTGATGGGCTTGTAAATGTTTAATAAACATGTTTGCTACCTTGTCTTTGTTATTAAATTATAAAAAATTGTGCCCAAAAAAAATGAAGAAGAAGGTTCTATTAGCCATTTATGACAAAAATGTCTAATAATGGATATATAAAAAAAAATCAAAAAATCTAGCTCCCAAAATGCAATTTTTTTATACAGATTTAGGTACTCACCGCAGCACCGCCACAATGGGGATCCACAGGATGGACGAGAGGATCAGGAAGAAGGCGACGACGATGCACCAGTGGGGCCACTCCTGGTTCTCGGAGGCACCCTTGGCCCCGATCCATGCGGGGTAGCTGCTGCCCTCGGTCAGCAGTTGGTAGAAGGAGGCCAGCAGGATGGTGACCATCGCACAGGGCGACAAGTACTTCCAGCAGAACATCCAGTAGAAGTTCGGGCGCGACCCGGTCATCATCTCTATGTCGTCCGAGAATCGCCGCACTCCATAAATATAGCTGATGGACAGGCACTCGAAGAGCGCTATGATCAGCAGAGGGAAATTGCCGGCGAAACTGTCCATGAGCTGGAAAATGTAGCTGCCAGCTCCGTTGGCAAAGCACATGGAAATCAGGCAGCAGGAAAAGCAGAGGCCCTGGAATAAATCAGTTTCATTGAAAACATGTTGTTTCATAAAACAAACACAAAGGTATGCATATTGGATGTTCTTTTAAAATATAGTGAATATTTTAATCACTTAAATGAGGAATGAGAAATGCCAATAAACTTTCTTTTTTAAAAATGATTCTCATAATTAACAAAAGTCGGAAAAATACTATATTAAAAACATTATACTATTTATTTCAATATAGTAAATGAAAGCCTTTTAAATGCAAACAAACTTTCTTTTAAAAAAAATGGTTCTTTAGGAATAACAGTATTAAAATAAAACTGGGCTCAACATATAAAAAACAATATACTATTTCATCTTACATAGATGATTTAATATATTGGGATCAGTAGTATATGGGTCTATTAGAATATACATTATTTTAGCAACCAATTCCGAAATTCTCACCCCCACAATGTACTCCTTTGGCAGATTTGGGAACAGCTTCATGTCCACCAGCGAGGTGACCACGCCCTCGAGAGTTCCGAACTGCGAGTCGATTCCCAGGGTGAAAAGCATCAGGAAGAATAGTACCGCCCAGAGTTGGGCGCCCGGAAATTGATTGATCGCCTCCGTGAAGATGATGAAGGCCAATCCAGTGCCAGATGCACTCTGAAAATGAATATACGAAATTAGAATAGTACCAAAACCAAGTAAGTGGAAATTATTCAAGTTCCTTTGCTTAAATTACATTGCCATTAGCCAGATATTTATGTATTATTATTTATTTATATTATTACGATCTTGTTATATTCTTTTTAAATTTGGGAACACTTGGCGTATGAGTAACTTTGTGAGACTCATATCCTTACAAAAATTACTCATACGTCAAGTGTTACAAATTAAAGTCAATGGCGTTTAGAATATTTATAAGAAGTTATATCAGGAAGAAAACGTTTATCACGAACTCTTAGTCATTATGTATAGTTTATAGGTAATGGAGGAACTCCCATCTTTCTTAGCCAGCGAATGATGCTGAAGAATTCGCGTTTCCCCTACTCTTATATACTCACATTGGCCAGCTCGGTTTGCAGATCACATACGGGCAGGTTGTGCGTCCTGTTCTGGGCCATCAGCCCGTTCCGCTCCTCGGTACAGCGGTCAAAGGTGGCCGTGGCCTTGAACCCGATGACCGAGAACACCACCACGCCCGCGAACATGGAGGTGCCGCAGTTCGTGAGCGACACGAGCAAGGCGTCCCTGTAGCAGTTGTTGTTGGCCGGATTGTACGAACTGAAGGCGATCAGTCCGCCGAAAGCCAGGCCCAGCGAGAAGAAGATCTGGGTGCCGGCCTCCAGCCAGACCACCGGATCCAGGAGCGTCTCCCAGCGCGGCGTGAACAAGTGGGCCACCCCGTCGGCGGCTCCCTTCAGCGTGATGCCACGGAAGAAGAATATGATGAGCACCACGTAGGGGAAGATGGCGGTCATGTAGACGATTTTGCCGGACGACGTGATGCCCTGCACCATGCAGATGTAGACCAGGAACCAGGAGACGATCAGCGCAATGGCCATGTGGTAGTTGAAGTTCTCCGGCAGGTCCACCGACTCCGAGCACTGCAGCGTGGTGCGGTACCAGTAGAACTGCGTCGGCGACGAGGCCACGCACTCCGGCTCGTGGTCATAGGTGAAGTTCTTGTACAGCCGCGTCGGACAGTCGGCCCACGGCAGCGGCGACTCGAAGCTGTGCAGCAGGTAGATCAGGCACCAGGCGATGATCGTGTTGTAGTACAGGGCCACTATGTAGCTGACCACCGCCGACGAGATCCCGATGCCGCCCAGATACGGCGACACCTGGCTCCACACCCCGATCGCCCCCTTCCGCAGTCGCTGGCCAATGGCCAGTTCCAGGTAGAATATCGGTATGCCCTGGATGCACAGCATGATGAAGTACGGCACCAGGAAGGCCCCGCCCCCGTTCTTCTGGGCCAAATAGGGGAAGCGCCACACGTTCCCCAGGCCAACGGCATAGCTGTGGATGTGCATGAGGGGGGAAAATCAATTACTGGGATTATAATATTCAGGAATGAGTCTTCGTATTCATGCCCTCAAAATGAGAAAGTCTGATCAAATTAATATGAACTGCAACATATGAGAAATACATTTTTTACAAAATGATCTATGAATACAATTAACAAAACAAACTTTGCTAAATATGACACTTTTTAGAATTTCCATAGAAGTCAAATAAAAATTTCAGAATTTTGTATAAAATTAATATTACAATGGTCTTTACAATGTAGGTCGAAAAATCCAACCTGATTCAGGAAATGACATTACAAATTTTTTGTAAGGTACCAATGATTAAGAGTAATTAACAGACTCTAAGGGCTATGTTAAGTGTATGTTAAGTGACAGCTGCAGAAGATAACAGGGGCTTAACAGAAGTAAAATAACTTTTTTTCTCAGACAGAAACATTCGTATAGATTCAATTTACCGACTCACTGTTGGGTTTAATGGCTTTTTGGTCGAGTTAGTGTTTTATAATGATATTTTGAATTAAGTCCAAAATCTGTAAGAATCAAAACCTTCTGGTAGTGGAATTTCCACTTAGACTTCTGTTTTGTGAGCATGAACAAGGGAGACCTAAGGCTGTAAGGCAACGCACCCGATGGTGGCCAGCAGGAACATGATCTTGCTGTCCCAGGACTCGCGCTCCTCGCCCTCCTTTTCGCCCTCGACGATGTCCTGCTGATCGGCGGCGACGGCGGAGGCGTTGGCCACCAGCTCGGCCTTGGCCTTCGAGGTGCTCGCCTCCGAGCCGAAGGGCGGCGGGTCCTGCTCCAGCTCCGAGGACTCGTCGAAGGCGTCCGACATGAAGCCCTGGTTGGTGGCCCCATACAGTGGCTGGTGGTGGTGCAAGGATGTGTGGTGGTGGTGGCCGACGCCATGCTCCTTCGATACCAGGCGACCTCGCAGTTCCTGTCAAAGTTAATTGTGTTTAGTGATGTAATTTGTTTTTTTTTGCCAAAAATAACCACATTTTCTAACAGCTTTATAAGAAATCTTATTCATACTTGTTACTTTTAAATATGTATCTTTACATAAGTTTCAAATATTTTTAACTTGAAAATAGTATTCATTTGAAGCATATCTTTGGCCTTAATAACTGCCTAAGGACACGGTCCCCTTCACTTACCCTCAGTTCCAGCTGATCGATGCTCTTCTGGCTTTTGAGGACTATATCCCGGGAGCTTTGACGACGCAATAACTGAGCTGTGTTGGCCATGATTGCGTTTTATTATTATTTCGACTTATTACAGAGTACTAGATTTGTGTGCGTGTGTGTGGGTGCTGTGTGGGTATGTGCGTGTGTGTCTGTGTGTGTGGGCCTAAGTGTGCTAAATCACTTCCGTTTCCGTTTCTTCAAATTTTCCTCAGTTTTCACTCCTTTTGGCGCCACCTGGTGTTGCGTTCTGGCAACTAGCTACTCAATGGACATTTTTCGTAGCATACTTATATGGGTGGCTAAATCAATCGCATTTTAAGCCCTTTCAGTTGTGTTTTAGTTGGTCTATTTTTAGGTCTGGTATTGTGTTTTTACTGTGGCTTGGTGCTTTTGTTAGTGCTTAATTGCAGGTGATAACGGTGCATTAGTAGTAGACGCCATCGCTGTGCCGCTAGCTGTTTTTTTCCAAGTGAAATATGTGTTACTAATAATTGTATACAACTTGCATGCACAGAAAGAAACAACTTCAATACTCAAAGAAATAAGTGAAAGTTGGAGGGGATTATTCGTAGTAATATTATTAAGTACTTTATGAAACTTATCTTGGATTTAAAAAAGAAAATGTCAATTTTTTAAATACGTCTTAATTGATTAAAAATTATTCATTTAAAATAAAAAACTACTGATTTTATGACAGTTAGTTAAAACTAGATGAAAAGAGTTGCATCAATATATTTTCATAACGAATTTTACTTTGATTTATTTAGTATTTTATGAAACTTATTTGCTTATCTTGGATTTCAAAAACCAATGACAATAAATCTGTTTACCAACTTGCTAGTATTTTTTGATTTAAACAGGAATTTATAATTATGACAGTATGTTTAAAATACATGCAAAGAGTTAAATCAATATTTTTGATAACAGATTGTTCTTTGATTATTAGAAATGTAAAATCATGTTAAAGTTCTAATATTTTCTAGATAATTCAATGCAATATAGTAGTTCAAAACCTGTTAAATATTTATTTAATTTAAAATCGTTTAGATTAGAATAATTTTTCCATGTGTGCTTTCCATCAATCAAATCATGCAAAGGAAAACGATCCACACACATTGGGGCATCTATGGGGTTTGCGTGACTGGGTCTAAGTCCACACAATAAATCAATCAACGGTGAGTCCTTTTTAACCCACCATCGCCCCCTCAACATTTTCCGCCCACTCACTAATGTAGTGTAATGAAATTTACTTTCATTTTCGACCTGCAATTAGTTTAGGCCAAGTTTGCCAGGGCGATGGAGGTTAAATTATCAGGTGGAGTGCAATATTTTTTCGTTGACATGGAGACCTACATTTCCTCTCTACTCTAGCATGCTTTTAAAGATAATTTAAGGGGCAGCTTTACTTTGTTTGCCCTTTTCGGGGAGGAATATGTAGTATCCCTTGAATTGTTAACCGTCAAATTCTCACTTATATAACCGAAGAAAACACGCGAAAAAAAATGGAGTCGCACTAAAACAAACAACGAGCGTTCGGCCGATAACGGTGAAGGGAGGGGGGTTGCTTATTATCCTTTGATTATCCTTCGATTAACAACGGCAGGTGGTTGCATTAAAACCTTTTTAAAGACCGATTCCGTTCGCTATTCGCTCCCTTCGCTATCCCGTGACTCTGATTGGAATAACGTAACGGTGTGTCGTAACGGGACGTTGGCAGGAAACTGTTGAGCAGCAAGGGACGTAACAACCCGAATAGCTGGACGAAAAGGATAATGGATAACGGGCGATAACAGGAGTAAACGGCAGAGAGAGAGGAGATGAAAACGTGAAAAGAGCAGCGCAGACGCAGTTTCACATTGCCTGAATCCGAGCGAGAGGGCAGATGGTAAACAGAATTAGGAGAGAAATAAGACAACCAAAAATAAGTAAATTAACTAGCAAATTATCTCATTTTTGTCCCATATTTTAAGGCCATAAATACAATATTTCCAACGTAACGTTATCCAATTAAAATCCGTATCAATTAAATTGAATATACATTTTGCATTCCATATTTAAAAGTTTCATTCAGTTCTGTCATTAAGCAAAGGCGTTAGTACTTTCCCCAAATTGAACTTTCCGCGTTAGTTATTTATAAGAAAGTGCTGCACAGTGCGTAAATAGTTTTTATAAATTAATTTAGTGTAAGCAGTGACTGTGAAACAACAAAATGCATATCAGTGAAAACTATGTGAAATACATTTATGCAATATTAACTGATAATTCATTTAAATATATATCTGGTTGCATGATTTTAAAAAAGAATAAATATACATATTTTATAACTTAGTCAACCAAACAATATTGGCAAATGTGATTTGTGTCTTTTCAAATGCCAACGATTTGTGTTCCATGTTCTATAAAATGTACAATTTTTATATAGCGATATAGTTATATGAAATACCGTGACCGTCAGTCAGTGACTCGTTACTCGTGACAGCTTATCGGTGATTATCTGCTATCTGCGCATCTCTGGAATGAACTGGCGGTGCAGTGAAGTGAACTAGCCGCCAAATGAACACTTGTTGATGGAACCTCTCATAAATTGTTTATTATTTCGATAGGCGAACTGGGAATTGCGTGCATTGAATGAGAAGATGGTGTTCAAGTGCCAGGAGGACAGCTTCCTGAAGCAGGTAACCCTGCTGAGTACCCCCGTAGTTACATAATTCGTAACCTAATTGATTGATCAACAGTTCAAGACGAAAGTCGTGAGCAGTGAGTTCGCCACCTTGGACTGGACGAGTCCGCAGGGAGAGGTCCAGAAACTGAAGGGTTTCCAGGTGGTCTGCGAGGATACGATACTGTTCCCCGAGGGCGGTGGCCAGCCCTGCGACTACGGAACCCTCGGCGGATTCCCCGTGCGCAATGTCCAGCGGAAGGGCACCACGGCCGTCCACTTTGTGGAATCGCCGACGAGCTTCGAGCAGGACTCGGAGGTGCTCCAGCAACTCGACTTTCCCCGGCGACTGGACCACATGCAACAGCACTCGGGGCAGCACCTGATAACCGCCCTATTTGACAGGGAGTTCAAGTACGACACGACCTCCTGGTCCCTGGGCTCCAGTGCCTCATACATCCAGCTGAGCACGCCCCATCTCATCAGTCGCGAGTCGCTGGACCTCATCGAGCGGCAGGCCAACGACCTGATACGCGAGGGCCGCGAGGTCAGCGTGGTCCTGGTGGACCCCGAGGTGGCGCAGGAGTTCCAGGATGCCCGAGCCCCGCGCGGACTGCCCAAGGACCACGAGGGGCTGGCCCGCGTGGTGCGCATCGCGGGCATCGAGAGCAACATGTGCTGCGGCACCCACGTCACGAATCTCTCCCAGCTGCAGTGCATCAAGCTGCTCTGCGCCGAGAAGGTGAAGACCAACGTGCTCGTCCACTTCGTCGTCGGCGAGCGGGTGCTGCAAAAGCTGGGCGAGGTCTTCCAGCGGGAGCAGCAGCTCACCCAAGCCCTCAAGTGAGTGTTCCTCAGGTATTCAGCAAGGGTTTCTCCCCTCGCAACTTTGTAGCCACTAAGAATAGTTTATGCCATAGACATTGCACACTTTGATCTTGGCTCATACTTATTAGATCTGTTTTTACCATATATAGACTTTCAATTTATTTCTATCGTTTAAATTTGATATTGCCAAGATCTGCATTCAATTTACCTTTATTCATAGCTAGCCTGCTTCACCAAGATTTCATCAAGCTATTGCCCTTTACATCCTTATCATTCCGATTTAAGACTAAATATTGCTAAAAGCTTTCAAAAAACATTTACAGACTGGGATAGCACGAGGAACGCTTTTTAAATTCACTTTATCCATTTTATTTTTAACTTCTTAGAACTGATAATGCCAAGATCTATACTTAATATCACATTACTAAAACAGTTTTGATAATTTTATAGCTGAAAAAAACTTGGTTGGTATTTATGATTTCTAACAATTTATTTAATTTAATTTATAATAAAGATTATTCAAAATTTGAAATTTATTATAACACAATTAAATAAAAAATGCCATTTCAATTATTTGTAAAACTGAAAATATAAGTACCAAAATTATTTTGAACTTAACATCATAACAATAAATACATATGGTATATTTTAGAATTGATGATATTGTTACCATATCAAGATAATTAATATTTATAATATAATTAATATTTTAAATAATGTACAAATTCTAACTGAAGTTGATATGTCACTAATATCCGTAAAAGATTATATTTCTGATAAATATTTGTGATCTATCTTATAATATTTATTAATTTGTAAGAATTTTCGACAGTATACTCACCGACTAGTTTGTTATTTTACAGAGGTGGCCCGGGCCAGCACTTGGAGCTCGTCCAGAAGTTGCAGCAGAATGTGAAGGGCAGTCGCAAGTACTTCGTGCAGCTGCTCAAGGACTTCGCCACCGCCGAGGCCGAGCGGCTGGAGGATCTGCCCAAGAAGGAGCGGCCCAAGTACTTCGCCCTCCATCGACGCGACGGCATCGAGGTGGACTTCATCAACACATTCTTGCGGCTGGCGCCCGCAGAGGGAATCCTCTACTTCCTCACCGTTTCCGAGGGCGTTGCCGCCGGCAGCAGTGCCAAGGGCCACCTGGTGCTGCGCGGGGATCCGGAACTGGTCGAGAAACTGGGCCCCCAGTTCGTGGAACTGCTCGAGGGCAAGGGCAACGGCAAGGAGGGCAGCTTCCAGGGCAAGATCAACAACCTGGCGCGGCTGCAGGACTGCCAGGATCTGCTGGAGGCGCACTTCAAGCCAAAGAAGATCGTAGAAGCCCCATCAGCAGCCCCGCCTGCAAATGGCGCTGAGTTGGACAAGGAGGAGTAGAGCAACGTTCGGCAGTGCCCCCCATCCAATATACAATATTTGTATGGTATTAGAGAACATAAATGTTCGAAAATAAATGTTGGCTATTTTTTAAAGCACTTGAAATCAATCTTTCAATTAAGAAAATCGCAAAGCTCTCACTTATCTGGACATTGGATAGGAATAAACAAGTTTATGGTTTTTTTAATTAAAAAAAAGCACTTGCCAATCAAATTTCGTTATAGATACTTTGAGTGATCTATTTGCAAAGCAGATTTATATAGAGTTTAACTGACCTCTAAACTATTTTCAGTTGCCATTTCCGTAAGCTAAAACAATACTTACTATTACTATTATAGTATTAAATGGAAATGGAAACGTTTTCCTGTACTAAAAACATACATATATTGTATTCCCTTGGTTGAACAACATGGTATCAATAACAACGAGTGGTGTCAATATGGAGGATCACAGGTAGTTGACATCGTAGTTGCGCATCTTCCAGTCGAGGCGCCAGTACTGGTTCCAGAAGCCCACGTCGATGATCCTCTCGTGGAAGTTGAGGAGCCCCACTTTGGTGTACTCGCAGATGGCCGGGTATGTGCAGTCGTCCTCGTCGTACAGATCCACCCACAGGATCGTGCAGATGCCCAGCGAGAGGAGTCGCAGTTTCTTCTGGTTGATGGCCCGCTCCAGGGTCAGCAGGTAATCGGCGGAGTCGGGGTTCTGGAGCTCGGTGGGCACGGTGATCATGCGGTTCGTGGACCGCCTTAGCAGGGTCATGAAGGCCTCCTCGCCGGGATTGTTGAGGCCCGCCTGGTACAGGAACAGCATGCCGGTGCCGTAGAGCAGCGCCTTCTTGGGCTTCGTGTAGGACTCCCGCACCACGCCCACCGCCACCTCCGAGTAGTCGCGCACCAGGCCCTTCCAGTACTGCACCCACTTCTCCACGACGGTGTCCTTGAAGCGCTCCGGCATCTGAACCCTGTCGGCCAACCTCTGGCGCAGTGCCGTTATGCGACCGCCCACGCGGAGGAACTGCATCTCCCAGCGGGTTTCGATTTTCAGTGATCAATTTGGAGGAAAGCCAGGTGGAATCGGAATCCCAGTGTTATCAAATAGACAGTGCGGGAAAACAGCTGTTCGGCTCGGCTCGGTTCGGTCCAGTGTGACCGTAGGCGTGCTGGCGCCAAATTACCAGGGCAGCGCGCGATGTATCGCGATGGCGGTATATCGATAGGCGTATTACAATACCCAATGGCGGGTTGGTTCAGTTTTATTTTCACTATTATTCATTTATTTAATTTTGTATAACCTGATTAGTTTTTACAAACCCAAAACCTAACAAATTCAAATTGAATTTAGCGAATCGATAGTTGTGGCCAAAATGACAAGGAGCAAGCCAACGATGTTATCGATAGTGCTGTCGCTGATGCTCTCTGCAAAATTATGTACAAAACTTGTTAAAACAAAATAAGCCCAGAAGCGAGCAGTTTAAAAAGGTAAGTGTGGGCAAATCGTAGCGAATGGGGCGTGGCGAATCGGAATATAACGCTGGCTTATCCAAATTCCCAGAAAGAGCGGCGTGAGTGTAGAATGCAATAATTGCTGCCATGAAAAAGGCGAAGGGATCGGGCTCCCTGGGATCGAAGGGATTATCCCGGGGATTATCTTCTGGTCTCGTGGTGTCCAAGGGCTCCTCAGGATCGGGATCAGCATCAGCAGGACTAGCGGAATCCTCGGTGGCAAAGCGAGCCGCCAAGGAGCAGCAAGAGCCGAAGAACAAGGAGTCGCAGGCAGCCAAGGAATGTGAGTACGACGCACTTCCCCTTTCCCATCCCCCTCCCCCTCCCTCTCCACTCACAAAGCTTGCAAAACAGTACATGTGCTCATTCCCATGCAACAACAGCAAAGGGCAAGAAAGTAGCACTCAGTTTTAATTCAAGCTTGATGTATGTATAAACACAGCAGAAGTGTCACCAAAAGTGGCTTAGTTTTAACTTAGTAATGCAAGCTATTGGAATTAGTTAAAATTATAAATTTTTTTTTTTTGAATTTTGATCGGAATATAATGTGCTCATTGCCATGCAACTACAGTAAAGGGCAAGAAATCAGCACTTAATTCAAATTCCTTACAGGATATTAGTGAATGATTTTAACTTGTATTTATTTTATGCAAGTTAAGCTATATATGTACATACATATGAACATGTGCAAACATATATCAGTGGTTGGAAAAAGAACATTACCTCTATTTGCTTAATTTTAGTTTAGTGCTGCAAGCTATCGGAATTTGTTAAACATTTAAAATATGCTCATTCTTAAGGAACAGCTGTGGTCAAGAAAATAGCTATATGAACAATGTATAAAGCAATGTATAGCAAACAATGTTTGTTTTGAAAGAACTTGTAATTACAATTTACCATTTTTCCGATTGGTCCATTTTATTTCAAATATAAGCTAATCTTGCCATCATCTCGTTAGCAGCTGCAGCAAAAAAGAAGAAGCCCTTGAAGGATGAGCCCTTGAAGGAGGAGCCCTTGAAGGAGGAGCCCTTGCAGGATGCACCCATGAAGGAGGAGCCCTTGCAGGCTAAGTCCATTGTCACAATCTCCATTCCGGCAATTGATAAGCTGCGCCGCTACTGCTTCATCGGCTCCACGGATTGCCCCGTCTACGCCCCGCCCACGCTGGACCTGGCCGTCGAGATTAGCTTCAGCACGCTGCGGGACCTCTGCGCCGAAGTGACCGACGCCGAGCTGGCCGAGTGCCTGGCGGGTGTGCTGGGCAGCGGACCGAATGCGGAGCACCTGCCGCGCCCGAACGAGCCGCTGCTCATCCTGGCCGTCTTCCTCAGCACGCGCGAGGACGAGAAGCAGCGCAAGTTGGTGCGCAGCAGGTTCCCCGACCTGATTACCAGCGAGTCGGACCTCCTGCTCTTCGTGCAGCTGGTGAGGCGCGTGCAGAAGCTGCTGGACCGCCAGACGCCCTTCAACCGCACGGTGCGCAAGGCCATCCTGGACTGGTATGGCCACCAGTCGGTGGACCGCCTGCTCCACCTCTGGTCGGTGGGCGACGGCACTCGGTGGGCGGCGCACCGCGATCTGCTGCACCGCTGTCACTTCCGGGATGCCGACTTCCGACCCGAGGTCATGGCCGCCCTGAAACTCCTCTCCTCGTCGCCCAAGGAGCTGGCCCAGTGGCCCACTTTCCTCACGCCCCTGGCCAACTGCCGTGCGACAATCGAGGGCGTGCTCAAGCTGCGCCTCCTGCAGGATCCCGAACAGGCGCTGCCCATTGTGAAGAAGCTGTCGCTCAGCTGGGAGCATGTGCCGCTGCAGCTGCTCAACGATCCGGCGCTGGCCAAGTTCCTTGTTCCGCGCATGACCTACGACCAGCTGCTCCAATGCTGGCCACGCCTCTCGCGGCTGCACAGCCAGGTGCGCGCCTTCGCCGATCAGCTGCTGGACGAGAAGAAGCTGAAGGCGGGCAATGTGCCGCCGGTGCGGCTCCTGCTGGAGGACATGCGCCTGCGGAGGCCCCGGAAGGTGGTGATAGTGGTAAAATCCATTGGCTTTTGATAGTCTCAAACTGTTCCTAATGCGAAACGTGCACTTTTCAGTGTCCAACGCGCACGCAAAGGGCGAATTTCCTACACAGCGTGTATGAGGCATCCTTTGGCCAGAACAAGGCGCTCGGCAGGCGGCTGCACATCACCCTCAATCTGGAGCAGTTCTACTTGGGCAGTAAGTGACGTCTCAATTAGACTAATCACCTGAATCACCCAATTTAAATCCTTTTCCCCAGAACACCTTTCCGGTCGCTGTCGCTCGCTCAAATACCTGGATGCCCTGGTGGCCCTGGCCTTTGGCTACTTCCGCAGCGATCCCAAGGTGACGGTGCAGTTCTGGCACGACCGCAGTGGCCAGCTGAAGACGCTGCCCTGGACCAAGGAGATGTCGCTGGCGGAGGCCACCGCCTGCTGCCAGAACCAGAAGGTTGTTAGCCATGCGCCCATGCGCTGGGAGCCAATCACTATAACGCTTATCCACTGCAGGTGCTCAAGACCAAGCAGACGCTGACGGATGTCCTGGACAGAGCGCTGGAGGATGAGAAGAACACGTACGATGTGTTCCTGGTGCTGGTGCCGGGTGCCGGGCGAGGGAATCCGGGCAACAATTCCAAGAGCTTGGCTGCCCTAATGGACGACTACCGTGAGAAGCGGAGCTCCAATGCCAAGTGAGTATTTGATGCTTAAAACATGCTGACACCCGATAGGTAAACTATTGCTACACGAATTTTAAACTATCGGGTATGAAAAATGTCTCAATAAGATGACTATAAAATGAATACCACGAAAGTAACAAAACAAATCTATGTGCCTTTCAAATAAGGCTTAGACTTCAGTTTTAGACTCTTGGGTATTGTAATTGTAGGCTCAAAAACTCAAAAAAAAAAAATGCTTACAAATAAAAAGGACTTTAGGTCATGACTTTGGTATCAAAATAAACTAAAACTACCTTAAATTAAAGGAAATAATTGGCATGGCTTCATCTCAAGGAAATTTTTACTTCACATTTGACACATTTTAGGTAACAGTTCCCCACCTAATGTTAAGAAAAAGGGTTAATTCGTATTAAACTAGAAAAAGAAATTTTGATTTTGGTTTTGGTCAAAGATGTTCATAAAAAACCAATGGAAACTTTATAGTATGGAATTAAAAGAATGTTTTGTTGTCTTTTCGTGAAGTAAAATCAAATTACGAAATTAAATTTGTATCGTTAGATAATCGCTTTATCCAGGATCGTGGTGGGTGTTTTTTTAAATTTTAATTTTACACTTTTCGGAAACATTTAGATGAAAAAACTTGGGTTTTTGCGTTTAGTGTTTAAAATTGTAAAACGATCGGTGCTGCACGTTAGAACTAAATATTTTGGAGTTATGATGGGCATGATATTGATTAGTGGTATAGGAATAAACCCAGCGTCTTTGAGATATGCATTCAAGTTCATAAAATAACAACACCGCCTGAGGGGATCCAGTTGATTAACCACTCGTGCCTCCGCAGATTCGTTATGGTGAGCCTGCGGCAGCATCACGCCTCCATGATGTATTCCGGCGCCCGCAACGAGAACCTGCTGGAACTGTGCAGCCTGGACGAGCACACGCCGCGCCTGATCAACGCGTTTGCCCGCAGGAAGTTCTACTAGAATGGCGGCAGTCTAGGCGGAGGCTGCAGAGGAGGAGGAGCCGCCTAGGGAATCATCGACGATTCCCAATTAATCACACAGCTGTTCCAAAGCAAAGCAGTTCCATTTGTTGAAGGACGATGGCCCCCGGTTCGTTGCCATCGGCCATCTCTCTCGCTTTCATAGACACTAGGTCCCGTCCACGCACCAGTCCAAGTCCCCATCCTAATCCCAATCACAATCCTGCTCCGAATAGTTCACATGTAACACATACACAATATTCGTAGAGCCAGGCCAACTAACATTACTACGTACATACGTATGTACTAATAATGGTAGTAGTTACACCCCGGAATCGAATCCACATTTGCAATCGGGTTAGATACTTTTAACGCTCGTTTTGTGTCATCACCTTTGTATTCATATTTGTATTTGTACTAGATTTGGTGGATTTATTTTTTCAAATCAAACTGAATCAACTGAACTGAACTCAATCTAAATTCAATTTGGATTTAAAACAATCTCAAAGCAAAAGCAAACGCAAGCGCAAACAACAAATAAACAAACAAAATAAAAAAAGAAAGAAAGAAAGAAAAACCGAAAAACAGAAAAAAAAAACAAAAACAAACAAATTGCCTTACAAACAAAAATGTTAGTAAAACTTTCATTTTAGTTTAGACTTTTTCAAAAATTGAATACTGGAACTGAAACTGAAACACAAATTATGGCATTTAGATAAAGTTAATGTTTAATGTAATCTAATCATATGGCCTATGTATCGAGTATTAATCTAACGTAACTTAAAATAGTCCAAGTCAAAGCAATAATCACCAATCACTAAGCAAATCCAGTTATAGCCTCAGATTATAGAATTATGTTGTGCTCGAATAGAAACGAATTAAATTAGCTAAATAGTCGAAACGCATACAAGGCAATAATATGAATGAAAATGAAAATGGAAACGGAAATGGAAATGGAAACTCCCAATGTGCCATACACACCACAAAAACACACACACACACACAAACCCCATGCACTCCACTCGATCAGTATATTTATTAAGATTGTGAAAAACGCCGAACCGAAACGAAACGAAACCATATAGAGAACAATAACGAAACGACGAGCAAACGCTACCAATTTGACTAAAATTAGTTAAGTGAAATTATACTCAAATTACGATTAAATTACATTTACTTGTATAGAAAGCATAGCAACCAATTTGGAAGATAAGCAAAAGCCAACCGAAAATAGGGAAATCGAAAAACGTAAATTTAACTAACCAGAGAAATCGAAACGATACGAAGGAAAACAGGAAATATTTCCACGGACATTTCTAAACAAATGTTTCCACACGCGTCTGTGAATTAAACCGTTGTGATCGCTTTAAATTTTGATTTATACCATACATACATAAATACAAAACTACAAACTATTGAGCACTGAATACTGAATACAGAATACGAACCGCAACAGGAAGCTATAGGTTATTCTATATAGTTTGTGAACTCGAAATATGGAAACCAGTTGGTGGAGCGTAACAGAAAAAGTACCTATACAACAAAAAGCTAAACTAAAACTGAAACTGATACTGCAAGCCAGCCAATCGAACCCCGAAATCCAGCAGAAACTACACAGAAGTATTCCAAAAATCCAGGATACGGTTCATCGAAGGAGCAGGAGTGGAAGGAAGGATCTACGGACTACCGCAGAACGTATACACTTTACAGATTGTTGAGGCAAGACCTGAACACTCGAACTTATTTGAATTTATTGTAACTTTAAGGCTCATTTGTACACTCTTTGAAAGAGTTTTAACCATAAAGAGGGAAATGCGGAAAGACCCAATGGAAAACACTGTGTTTTCCTAGTTTGAGGTCTTTTCCTATCATTTTGTTTTACATACATTTTTAATTTAAGTTTGACAAATTTATATATTAGCCTTAGCACACAAAATTTGTGGTCCGAATTTGATATACTCGTATGTAAGAGAAATCATTCCAATTTGAATATTATTCTTAATTTTTTTTTTGTATTTTTAGACATAAAACCCTTATACCATACAATCTTTTGTAAAGTGTATGCCACAAAGAAACTCAAACCAAACAGTTATTACAGTAAAGTTACCGAAAAAAAGTTAAACAATAAAACGCCAAGGAAACACATTTCAGTTAGGGGAAATTTAAATAAGAAAAATTATTACTGTTGTTGATCAAATCAAATCAATTTAAAGGAAACTAAAAACGAAAACTTAAACTAAAATACTGAAACTGAAATCGACTCGAAATGAAACGAAACGAATTGAATTGAATTAAATCCGTAGTAAAGCAGCAACAAGAAGCAAAACATCATGTGATATCTATTTCAAAAATAAATCAATTGACAAACTAAAGAGAAGAAACCCTAACCATAACGAAGCAGAGTATAGTAAAATTAGCCTAAACCACGAAGCGTTCAGAACAGAAAGCGGAGTTTCGAAAGAGAAGGTTTTTATGATTTGCCGTTGAAGAGTTACGAGTTACGAGTTACGTAAGATCCCGAACCACAGACCCTTTGAGTATTAAAAACACACACATCAGCAAAATACATGACTCTATCTCAATCTCAATTCCTGTCTCTCTGTCTCGCCCACTCACTCTCACTGTCCATCTCTTTCTGTCTGTAGTGTTAGTCGAAGTCGGATTGTACGCGCATTCCCAAAATGTTCAACTCCCTGCTAACGTATTCCAGAAGGTTTTTATAAGCATATACATAAACGTATACATACTTCTTATACACTAATCTAGGCTAACGTTGAATAAATTCTGAATGATTCGAACAGCACTCGGCATTTGCGTTTTAATTTACTTGGGTGTTTGGTAATTACTATGTACTTTCGCTGAATAAGAAAACTATTTATTTTGTAATGCAAACTTTTTTTTAATTGTTTTTCCACTAAATGTTCCAGAATTTTGTAAACATTACATGATTGTGTAGAATCTAACACACAAAACTAGGCAATGAATTAATTCTGAATGATCCGAACAGCACTATTACTATTACAATTTAATTTACTGGGGGCTCTGAAGGCGGGATTTGTTTTTGGGTTCTTAGCTTTTTTTTGCATTTGATCTTCTTCGCTTTTAATGTTATTTTGCATCCCCTTTTTTTTGTGTTATCTTTTTTTAAAGCGCTATTTTTGAAGAGAGCCTTGTGAATGTTTGTTTCATTTGATGCTTTTAATTTTCGATCCTTTATTTTCCTTTTCCTTCTTTGAACCTTATATTGCTTTTGATTTATTGTGGTCTGGTTTTCTCTTTCTAACTAAAATCTTTTTCGCCACCTTGTTTTTTTTTTGATTGTTGATCCAATAAATCGTCTAATAATACTTCTTTTGGGGACTGTCCGTTTGGGGTATAATATAGTTCTGCTTTTGATAAGTTAGGGTTTTCAAACCCCTCAACTTTTTTTATAATACTTTTGTGGACTGTCGCCTCTAAGATCTTTTAGGGACTTACTATTGTGATTTGATTAGTTATCGTTTTCTTTCCAGTGTTTCAAAATTGAAATGTTTCTGCCACGGTTCTTCGTCTCCTTGATTTTTGGTCCTTCAATCATTGTGTAATACTACTTGTTGTCCGTGACGATTCCCGCCGGACCGCAGATGTAGAGCTGCTTCTGGTCGCGCTCCCTGAGCGGTTTGAAGCCCAGCTCGTCGACGGGCACGCCGTGCTGCTTGAGCTTGCACTCGTAGGTCTCGAGCAGGTCGTCGTGGGCCTTCCGGGCCTTGGCCACCTCGTAGCGCAGGTCCAGGATGAGCTTGTTCTTCTGGTCGACGACGTTGCCCACGCGCTCGTCCAGGCCGGCCAGCTTCTCGGCGTAGTTGGGGGCACAGGTGGCGATGGTCTCGTGCAGCACGATGCTGCGCTTCTCGCCCTCGCGCATCAGGGCGGCGATCTTGCGCTCCAGGAGGACGTTCTTCAGGCCGGTCTTCTGCTGCAGCTCCACGATGACGTCGTTGAAGCGCTCCTTGAGGCCCTCGCGCTCCGCCACCAGCGAGTCGTTGCGCAGGATGAGCGTCTCCGCCTCCCAGGTGAGTCCCTTGACCTTCTTCTCCAGCCGCGTGTTGCGCACCTTGAGGCGGCTCAGCTGCTGCTTGTCCCGCTCGTAGAACTCCAGCTTGCGGCGGAACTCGTTCAGCTGGAGGTTGGCGTGCTCCAGCGGCTCCTTCAGCCGCCGGTTCTCCGCCGCCGTGTCCGCCGCAATCCGGTCGGATCGCTCGGCCTGTTTGCGCAGCTGCTCCAGCTGCTCCTTCATGCTGCCGATCAGCGCCAGGTTGTTCAGCGTGATGTCGTTGTAGTAGTTCTTCATGTCGTTGAAGGCCAGGTCGTGGTGGTCCTGCAGGTCCTTGATCTGCTGGTTCTTGCGCTCCTCCACCTCGAACATCTGAGTGCCGTAGAACAGGTCCAGCTTGGCCTTCTGCTCGACCATCTTCTCCTCGTGCAGCATCTCGTTGTCCTTGCGCTCGCGCTCGAACGTGATGCGCTGCTCCCTGCCAGGATCGCAAAACAATTAGCTTTTCAACAATTTAATCATTTCAGAATTATACAAATTTAAGAATTCCCTGGCAGAAGCACAGATACTAACAACGATTATGGCTTAAAATATTTTTTTATCCCTAGCTACGACATCTGGCGAAATCTCTTAAATTTATAAAAGTCTTTAAATTTATATTACTTGATGAATGTACAATAATAAAATGCCTTTAAGATTTATTGCTCAAAACTATAACATTGAATAAATATTTTAAAAATTAGAACCTGTTAGCCGCTACTTGAAATACAATGAATTGTAAAATTTAACAAACTTAAGAAATCCCTGCCAGATATTATGGCGTTTGTCAAAATCTTTTGAACTAATTCAAGTCTTAAAATTAATATTTTATTTTAAGCCTTTCAAGAACTATTGAATAGAAATTTAAAAAAATTTATTTTTTATGTCCTTAAATCTTATATTTAAACATATCTTCTACACAAGAAAAGTAATTTCTTTTTATATAAAAATTGCATAATATTTTTGATATGAGTCTATGATACTATATAAATATTTTTGAAAAACTAATGCTGGTTGTAAGAGGCCTGCTCAACAAAAATATGCGATATGGAAGCATAGAAACAGAGCATTTTGGCTCAATAGATCGATGTGGGACTATGGTGTTTCATGGTTTTTCAGGGGTACCCACAGCAGCTTCTCGTTGAAGCTGGCCTCCAAGTGGCGCAGCTGCATCTCGCTCGTCTCCATCTTCTCCCGGATGATCCTGCGCAGGTGGCGCTTGTCCCGCAGCAGCTCGTTCTCCTGCAGGACATGGTGCTCCTGGGCCAGCTTCAGCTGGGTCATCGCCTCGGCCCGCACCTCGCCCAGTTTGTTGTGGTTCTCGAACTGCAGGTGCTTCATCTGCTGCATCACGTGCTTGGTATCGATGTCCGCCAGATCCTGCGTGGCTTCGATCTCCTTGTCCTTCTGCTGCAACTCATAGCGGGTCTCATCTGCACAGACACAAAAACCAGACTAATTTCAGTGTTTATGAATAATACCTAATAATAATTTGCCAAAGGTCTTCTCTCTATTTCTATAATAATAGTAGTAAGACAATGTAAAGTGCTCAGAGAGGAAAATGGACATAAAAATATATAAATATATAGCCTTTCTATATATATTACAAAGTTTTTGTTGTAGCTGCAAGGGTTTACGTCTCCTTCCCTTCTTGTTTCAAATTGATATTGATATTGATATTGATATTGATATGGATGTTGTTATATTATTAATCCCCAAACTCACCCAGCTGTTGGCGCGTGATCTCCCAAAAAGTGCGGATCTTGTCCCGCTCCAACTGGAAGTAGTTTCGCTCCTCCCGCTCCCGATCCATTTCCGCCTTCAGCCGGAGGGCAAAGGCCTCCAGCTGGTCGCGGGTCATCGCCGAGGTGTCCACTCCATCGATGAGCACTGAGGGTTGAGTAGGTAATCAGCCATATTCGAACATATTTATTTATATTTGTTAGATAAAATAATAAAAGATAATAATAATAAGATGTAAGCTAATTTAAAGCTTTATAGTAATCAAAAATCACAGATAAAACATGGAGTAGTAAATATTTATATCTGAATATTGAAATCAACAAATTTTGAATTAATATTTAATTTTTATATTAAATCATTATATTAAACACAATGCAATATATTATATTAAACTTGAATTATATGTTCAGATATTAAAATCAATTCCGTAAATAGTCAAATTAATAATTAAAAATATTTTAAATATTCGTATTGTTAAAAAAAAATTAAAAACCGCAATGGATGAAAAGTGATGTATTGAATTTTTGGTATAAAATAATTGTTTTGTTTTGGTTGAAGCTCTCATTTATGTTAGCAAAACTTTATATTATAAAAGTAATCAAGTTTATAAAGCATGTACCAATGAAATGTAGTGATGAGTAAGAGAGTTATCATTGTTAGCATCATTTTTATTGTTATTATATTTATTATGTTTTTAGGTTATATTTTGAGAGACCCAAAACAGTTGTTTCCGCTTTTAAAGCTAGTTTCTAATGGCATCTTGACTTTGATAATTTCCATTGTTTTGGGCAAGCGAGTGAGTGAAAAGTTTGGCCGCATATTTGGGGTTCCCGGCCTTATGGCAATTTAATGAGAGCTGCACGCCTGGCTACCCCCATCCAAGTGCCCCTTTTTCCCCATTTTTTCCCCATTTCCCCCTTTCCACAGTTTGCACCCCTGCCACGCCCCCTCTTCTTACCCACTGCCCGCATATGTGGCCCAGCAGCAGACCATGTTGTAATTGTTTTCTGTAATTGGCATCGTTGGCCGGCTGGTGCCAGGACTCGAACTAGGAAGGACTACTAGGACTACCAGGACTACTAGGACTCCAACTAGAACCACGCGAGAAAAATACCTAGGCAGTTTTGTAAAAATAAAATATGATACACAATGAACACTCGGCTTAAGATATGGTTAATCGAGTTAGGCCTATCGCACGTAAAAATGGCCACACAAATAGTGAAACTTCTACAAACTATAATGCAAATTTTAGCATTCTTGCATTAAAAAACAAAATTAAGCCTTCTTAAATTTTTAAAACTTTATATGACGAACTTAGCAGCTTCAAGAAATTTTGGAAAATTAGTTTTGATTATTGTACAGTGAGCTTAGTATAAAAACAACGTAAACTATTTTTGCCAGAAGATTTTTAGCAGTGCATGCATAGAAACAATTATGTGCGTTAGATGTCCTTTAGAGCGAAGGGTCAAGGGGTCAGGGGAAAATGCAGTGTGCTCACTCGTGGAAATTAAGTGGACAGTTTGGCCCCCCATTTTTTGCTCTTAATTTTTGGGCTGCAAGACTCCGCCAAAGCAATTGCATTGGGACAAGAATGTCCACAGTGCTCCTCCATTTCCCCTGCACCTCGTCTCACGCAGATTATCGTTATTTACTAATTGTTTTGCTTGGCCTTTTTAAATTGCCCTGAATGACCAATGTCCGCCATTCCAGCTGCCCAGATATCCCCAAACCCAGTGGCACCCTGCTGCCATTAATGTTCCGAAAATGAATTGCCAGGCAGTCCTCGTCCTTGTTGCGTTTGTCTCCTCGTCGAGGACTTTAACAGCCGGCGTCCTTAAAGAGGACCCACTACGAACTCGGACATAACTAGCTTATTTGGTGATTTAAGTACCATGCAAAAAGGTTTCACCATTACTTGAAAGTAGGATGCGAGTAACTATTGATATTGTACTTATTTTTAAAAAATGAAGAACAAATAAGATTGTGTTTTTAAAATAATCAAAAATATATACGTATTACAATTATCAAATTTATAGAGAACCTAAACTTAAATTATTTAACTTAAGGCTTACTTACCTGGCAATTTTTTGCCCTTCTTGCCCTTTTTACCCTTCGGCGGCTGTAAGAAAAAATTACATTTTTGAATGTAATAAATAAAGAATAGTTTGTAAAGTTGTATAAGCCTTAAATTATAGCTAATTATTTTTCGCAATAATTAATGATGTGTAATAAAGACCAATAAATACAATAAAAGCAGCTTGTAGGTCCTAAAAACAAACTAAAATAAATGCCGAAAAATCAAAGAAAAACCCAAAGTCTCCAGCTGAGCTCAAATCTCAAGTTGAAGTCGCCGCTGAACTTGCCCCAAAGAATTTCCACATTTGTCTATGCAAATTGAATGAGCTTCGCTCCGCAGGAAAATGAAAACGGGGTCTGGCGCAATTGTCGTCTGCAGCTCGCAACTATTTTTCGCACTTTAAATCCTTTAACAACGTTTAATTCGATTCCCTCCACGTGGGAGAAAGGCGGGAGAAGGGCGGGGCACTGCCATCGTCGCTTTAAATAATGTGATGGCGCGGCTTTCAAAACAATTTCGCAACAGCTGTTGGCTGTTGGCTGCTGGCTTATTGCATATTTTATGACTGCAAATTATTCAAAAATTTTCGAAGCCGCCTGCGCCCGGCGACCGCGCTTTCGCCATGTCCAAAGGCGCAAAATATATAAATAAACATATATATATATATATATATATATATATGTATCGGACGGAAAAAAGGCGGATATATGTTGGGGGCAGGTCTATACATAAACAAATGATCGAAAATAGACAACCAACGAAAGAATGAGAACCAAGGGGGCTCAAAGGACTGCTTCTTGGCTGCAATAAATGTACAGTGGAGCCACGATAGCAAAGGAAAGCTAAGGGTGCCACAGGAAAACTACAAAAACAATGTTACGTATTCGGAATTTCTATCAGCTGCATATTAAGTTTTATTTAAATGTACGCCAGCTTTATTTTTTTAAGATATTGTGTTACAAATAGTTTTAATTTAATTTATTTCGAAAGACTTTAATCAGTTCGAAAAATTGTCCATTTAATTAAGTGTGTTGTTAAAATTATTTGTTTTGAATTCCTGCTGCAGTAAATGTACAGTGGAGTCACAATAACAAAAAAAAAAACACTGAAAAATAACAAAAAAAAAAGAAAAATGATATGTTAAACATATTTATTTTGAATGCTTTTATTCGAAAACCTATTCCCACTTAATTGTTTGACCAGCAGGCTTCACTGTACCCCATTCGCAAAGTGCAGTTTGTATATGCAAAAATAGCAACAGCCTGGCTTGGCATGAAAAATTGAATGCGCCGCTTGCAGTGCAACTGAAACTGAAAAACTGAGACCGAAAGGAGCGAATGAAGTAGCGGAGCAGTGGAGTAGTGGAGTAGTGGAGTAGCGGAACCGGAAATCGGAAATCGGAAGGAGGCGGAAGCTGCCAAGCTGGCCAAGCAGTGCGCGGCTTATGAGGATGCACTGCTTCGCTGATGCTGCGCTGATTTAACAACTTATTACTCACCATTCTGCTGCCGGTTCTCCCTCACGATTCTTCTGCTGAAAAAAGGACTTTTACACTCCGGACTTTTCCTGCCAACTGAACCGCCGATGTCCTGCCGTCCAACAACAAAACACACGATATCGATAAAGCGGTTGACAATGTGCGGGTGTTGGTGTTGGTGTTGGTGTATGTGTGTGTGGGTAACCGGGCAACCAAAAGCAAAGGTTAAAGGTTGAAACGCTGTTTTTTTGGCGCTCTCTTCTCTCGATTATTTTCCGGGGACCCAAAGGGAAAGTACTGCAATAAACGGAAAAAATCGGGGGGAATTTTCACAGTTATCACCTGGGTTTCTGAGGTGAACATTTTTGAACAAAACAAGCTTAATTTTTCCCCATTCGTCATTTGTATTATATTATTCTCTAAGGGTAACGTTCCAAGCCAAATATAATATTCTTGTGGATAGTGAAACAAATGTAAAAAAAAACTTCAAACAAAAATTAAAATGAAATGCTAGATATTTATAATTAATAGCACCTACTTTTGGCAGTATCCTCGTACTTTACACAGTGCCCGGCATTAGTTTGCTGCCCAAGCCACTGAAAACCGAAAACCGAAAAGCCAGACCAGACCAGACCCGACCAGACTCTTTCTCTTATCGCCGTCTGCTGTCTGCTTCCTATAAATGGTCTCTTGAATTTCCCCCTGCACTTTCCCTCCCAGAATTTCCACCCTGCATTTTCCCCGCAGAATTTCCCTTGCATCGGGTTGTTTATTTGCCCGTTTGTTTGGCGGACTTTAAATGCTGATGGCACTGCAGTCTCTGCTCTTGACTGGCTAATTTGATGATTTCGTGAAATACGATATTATCAGGAAGCTGGCAGATCCTTGGCTCCTTTGCTGCTGGTGCTGCAAAATTCGCTCGAATCAACTTTATTAGTGCCTTGAATAACACACTGCCACCTATGGCCTGCGAAATTCCTCGAGAAACCTCGCCACTTTCTCGCCTTAATTAATGTCTAGGGGGCGGGGCCGCCAGTTGGGTAAGCAAAGGCATATTGCTGACTTTCGGCGGCTCTCCGGTTAAATGCTTTAATTGAAATTAATAACCGCAGCCAGTTTGGCCAGTTGGGCAGTTGAAACGAGAACCCCGTGGCTTTCGCATGGAACAACAATTTGGGACCCGGCACACAGACACCGAGAATTTTCAATTGTTTTCATTAAAAGTCAATTTCTGATAGCGAAGATGCTGTGGCTGCTGCACTAAGGAAAAAACACGTATTCATTTAATATAAAAATATTTAAACTAACTATAGTAATATATTTATTTATGATATTTATATATTAAAGTTTACAAACATTAAAAAAATTAAAATATAATCTAGAGCCCATTTTTACTGCTATACCTCTGACATTCAATCAAGAAATTACCTAACTTTTTTATTTATTTTCAAAAAACCAAGCTTAAATGAAAGTTTATGACTTTCATTAAGTCACCATTGAATTCACATTATTTCCATTTTGTTTTAAAATAGGGACTCCAATTCTGAAATATATTAAAGAATATTTCAAAACAAGCTTTTCTAATATATGTTTGAGAAATAACTGTATTAAGAGTCATTTCTTATTATTAAGAAATAATTCGTATTTTTTGTTTGTTTTTATTGTTATTTATTTATTTTTCAGCTTTCGGCTGCGAACTTATCTGGCGTTTTTTCCTGTGTGCCTTCAACCCTTTTTCGGCTCTTCTTCTTTCGCCCTGCATAATTTTTGTTTCATTTTATTCTGGCCAACGGCTGCGGTCGGTCATGGCCCATTGAGTTCCGTAACGGCTGTCAAGGGTTAAAGGGGTGGCGGGAAGGGGGCGGGGCTGAGCGAGGCACTGATTGAAAGTGAAAGTATTCAAAACATGATTAGAAAATTTGCTTATCGAAGCACATCCCGAGCTTCTCTTTAAAGAGCAAAATTTGAGTAAATTAATACAAATACTTGTATAAAGGTCAGATCGGTACCTGCAAGCCAAAATGTTGTCTATTTCGTATCACAGCCCAAGCTTTTTAATTTACAGACAAATGCTTAATTTTCAAAAGAAATCTAAATCTAAATTAATATAAATATAAAATGACAAAAAAAAAAATACAAATCAATTTTGAAATGATGTAATTTTGGCATTTTTTAAGAACATTTTTTGCGAAAATTTCACATATTATTTTTAAGCTGTGAATACCATTTGACTGGAAATTTTATAACGAATTCGCCGATGTATGACATTCCATCTTGAGACCATTTCTTCCCAAGGTTTTGATACAAAAACCGATTTTTAGGTGCTTTTATGTGATTTGGAGATTTGTCAAAAATTGCTAAAGCGTCCTTTAGTTATTACTTGGCCAAAAGTCCTGTACGCGACCCAAGATGTGATGCAATTATCCACGGGACCTTCGCTGACCGCTCCTGATCGCCCAACCGCATTGCTGAAATAAATGATAGTTAATAAAAATGAAAATACAAATTGAAATATAATTGTTTTCTTTAAAATTAAGTAAGGGCAAGTGTACTGGGGTAAGGATTGGGTTATGGGTGGAAATATTTTTGAAAAATAGCTGGCCCCAGGCCCCTTAAAAATTTAAAATGGCGTATGCGGTAAAAATCGAAATAAAGACGATAGAAAAAGGCGACAGAAAATCTCCCGAAAACACGACATAATTTCGCGGAGAAAATGTATAAGGGCGAAATTGTGGCTGCAGAATTATGTCGTTATGCCTGGCATATCTCATTGAATTTGTCATATAAATGGATCTTGGGTTTTCTGTATGTTAAGACAAATCGTATGGGATCTCAGATTCAGATTTACTATATATTTAGACTAAAAACCCATATGCTGACCATGTATCAGTGAGATAAAGGTCAACTCAGTTGATGCAGCTGCAGACAAACCCTTGAGCAAATATATATGTACTCGGGTGTGTGGAAATTCGTACGATTTTGCGAAGGGGTTAGGGAGTGGGTGGGAATGAGCAGTGCTCATTGCGGTGGCAAAAGTTATTTGCTGTGTTATTTTCACAACAACTTCCGCTCGGCGCAGAAACGGATATCCTGCCTCTGAGTGAGAGATCCAGATATGCACGAGTGTATATAGGATGGATATAGATATAGGTGGTGGCAGGGGCAGGGGCAGGGGCAGGGGTAGGGGTCGGGAAAAGTTGTTGGTGCAGCTGGTCTGACGCCTTGTCTTGTCTGTTGTTAGCTGAAAACCCCTCGAACGTCCCTCGCCATATGCAAAATTCAGATTTTACAACTCCTCGGCTCAAACTTTGACTTGCGACCCAAACCCTGTCAATTTAAACTTTCTGATTAATTTTAATAAATATATTTTTGTCCTTTATTTGTAGAATTTGTTCGTTTACCATATAATATATATAATTTGTCTTGTATATATATGCTTGTTTATTTATTATATATTAGTTATACTGTACTTTATGCGTTTACTGCTTGGTTTATATAGAGCGGCTCTCCCTTTTTCAGGGCGATTATCGAGAGAACTTTGATTAAGCTTCAGTTTGTTTTTGTTTTGGGTGAACATCTGTGATCGTCCTTAAATCCATTCTAAATACATATTACAGTTTATCTTCGTTGGCTATATACATTTTATTTATTTTTATTTATAGCTTTAACTTTTGTTTATGAGCTGTCTTACTTGTATATACAATTCTTAGGCTTAAATTAATAGTGTATATTAAAAGCAACGCAATCAGAACATAATTTATTACACATTTAAATGGATTTTTAGCCACAACAAAACTATATACAGAATGTGAAAAGTCGAAGGATTCCAGGATTCTATAACATTTCCTCTAGTTTCTCTTATTTATTTTCGTTCAGCATTAAGTCTGCTAATAATGGCACATAACATTATTGTGTATTTCGAATTTTTTGATATAAGTACAGTACCATATAGAGAGCTATATCCCGCTTAGCATATGAACAACCTTTAATGGCTCTGATTCTTGTAGAGTCCATTTGTATAACTATGATTTCCATTTTTATATACGTTGTTTCTTTTTTTTTTTTTTTTTTACAAATTTCCATTACAAATTTATCATTTGCTTATTTAGCTTTATACACGAATCAAACAAACTGGTTATATGCAGTTGTGTTCAAAATAAGAGGAGTATAAGAATGACCTCTAAGACATCGCTATTATTTTAAACACAACTGTATCGCCACATATATATTTATATAAATTTATATAAATATGCGAAGGGGGTTGCTTAGATGTTGTGGCTAGATTTGGTTTTATTGTTGCAGCGGCAGCACAAAGCAGCTCTTAATTAAAACGCAACAAATGCACAAAGGATCCTGCAGCAGAACAACTGTTGCACAATGGGGCCGAACAGGACTCGAATAAAATTTCAATTAAATCAATTCGGGCATGTGGCCAGAGGGGCCCAGTGTCAAGTGTCTTGAGTACTGCGTACTGAGTACTGAGTACTGAGTACTCAGTTCTACTGAGTTCTTCGTCCCTCGTCCTACGAGTGCTGCCCACACACACGAGCAACATGCAACTTGCAACCAGCAACCAACAACCTGAAGTAGCTTTAATTGAATTTCTGCTACTGAAGTGGCTTGTTATCTCGTATTTGTTTAATTTTATTTCTCGCTCGGCCGCCCAGCAGTCATCATAAACTGATGAAATGATACCACTGCAAGCCAAAAATTCGGATCAAACTATTTTTGATGCTATTTTGTTTTGGCCAAAAAAAAGCAGAGAAAAAAAAACCGTTGAAGCAAACGAATTTTTAAAGTTGTAGAGAGTTAAGAGAAGGGAAAATAACAGAAAGAAAATGTTTTAAAACTTATTAGGTAAGCTTATTATTTTAAATAGAAGAGTAAAGAGAAAAAAATGTAGAGAAACAACAAAATAGATTTAAATTATTGGGAATTTTAAAAATCTTTTAAATTGTAAGGCTTCTTGTGAAGAGGTAATCATTTTAAATATAAGAGTTAAGAAATAAAAGGTTTGTTTTAGGTATGTGCCGAGATCTTTAGCAATTAGAAAATGTGTGCTTCAATTGTTTAATCAACTTGATTCAATAATCTTAATTTTTTTTATTGTTTTCAGTATTTTGGCCTTGTTTTTAGCAGTGTTTTCACTTATTTAGCCAGCTGTTGCTCGACAGCCGCTTGTCAGCCATTGAGACATTACAAAGCAAAGCCATTTACCATGATACACACATACACACGTACTTACTACGCACCAACACACTCAGTGCCATACAAATACACGCTTATAGGGATATTCAAGCCGACACTCATTTCATTATTAAATCAAAAAAGTTGAGTAAATTTCAGCCAGCGGCTGACAGACCCCGTACTTATTTCGCTCATATTTTCCCTATATTTTCCTCTCATTTTCCCCTACGTATTATTCCTATGCCACGCCCCCTCGTTTCTCCCCGCCCTCCCTAATGTGTGTGTGTGTGTGTGTAACAATTCAACTTGATTGCCATTTGTTTTAGCGAGCTGCTGTCCCGTCTTTTCCCCGGAAAATGCGGAAAATGTTTTGCGGCCAACACACGCACACAAGTACATTTTCCCCAACCCCCCTGACCCGCCCATCCATACACCATCAAGTGAGCGGTGTATTCAATTAAACTTCCGTCAAACATGAAGCAAACTCCCAAACTCCCCCCTGCATTTTCCTCTTGCCTTGGGGTTATAAAATAAACATGTTGCCACACACAAAATTTAAATAGATACAAGTTCGCCACACTGCACAACACAATAAACCGCAGTAAAACAAAGGCGGTTGCTAAAAAGTACGCCAAAAGAATGGCCCCGAAAAATATGACGAACATAAAGGAAAGCAAGGATATAATTTAGGCTGAGGATGGCCAAGAAACGTCCTCAGGATAAAGTATATCCAAAGATTTTCTCAGGTAGTCAAAATCATTTCTAAGATTTGAGATAATGTTTTTCCTATTATATGTTGTTAATATTGACTCCGATACTAGAATAAATGAATAATGCAAAGTTATTGATTTCCAAATGTGTAAAAAACATTTCAAAAAGAATCAAAAATTAAAAGAAAATATTGTAAGAAACTCAGATAGAAATTTATGTAAAAAAAGATTATTAAAAAACTTTTAGCCTATTAAAGCACAAACACCATTATATATAAATTAAATTTAAATTAAAGACAGTTAAATAAAGAATTGAATAATTGTAAAGAATAATTTTTGAAACCTTTTTATGTGATTTTAAATTTTTGTAGCTGTTTATATAAATGTTTACTATATGTAAGAAAAGCACTTAAATGCAATACCCTTTTTTCTATGTTCCTTGCCTTTGAAACCCGACCTTAAACAAAAGCATCTTAAAGACAGCAGTCACAGCGAGGAATGATAAAAAGGGAAATGCGAAATTAAAATACAATTTGACGGCATCAAATAGAGCAATTAAGCGCTCCTCCCCGCCACTCCACGCCACGCCCACTCAACGCCTCGCGTTTCCCCCGCCCACAGAAGTAGGCAACACTTGGATAGAGAAAGCACACACACCATGGTGCCATGGTGCTGGGGAAAACTTGATTACAAGTGTCGCGGAAAGCCCCAAAAAACAACTCAAACTGCGGCTCCGTAACAATCATAAGCAGCAAAATGCACATGTACACTGGCAAAAAAAAAAGGTTTACAAAAGTCTTCTAAAGAATGGAGAAAAAATAATAAATAAAAAGAAATAACAAATGCTTCTTTTTCTAATCAAGAATCCAGAAAAAAACATATAATATATTCAAATTGGGTACCAAAATATTGAAAATATCAATGCATTTCAATCCAATTACAATTAATATAAATTTCTCCCTCTGTGATTGTCCTTTTGTGCATGTTTGTCTGGTATTATTGCTGCTGTGTATTTATATTTGTTGTGCCATTTACGCAATTCAACAAAGGACAACAAAGGATGCGCGATTTTAAAGGCAGCAAATGTGGCAGCAGCAGCAGCAGCAAGGATAACAACAAAAGAAGTTGCAGCAACACGAGTGATATGAGCACCAGCAACATCCCCGCAGCAACATCAGCTTTAGAATTAGCCCAAGTGGCAAGAACAGCCATAATAATGGAAACAACCCCACTAAATTGAAGCAGTAAGCAAATTAGAAATAGTCAAATACTTTGTCAGAGTTAAATTAAAGTTCGACTCGGAAAATACTGACTTGTCTTTTGTTTTTGCTTTTCATTAAAAAAAAAAAAGAAAATAGTTCTTTGTACGCCAATTTTTTTTATATAATTAATATATTTCATAAGAAAATGGCGATTGACTGTTAAATAGAAACTTAATTGATTTTTTCTTTGAATTTAACATTTTAAATTGATTCTGCAAATCTTTCACAAATACTTTACCAGCTATTTGAAACCTTATTAAGCACTGCACAAATTAATAAATATGAAATAAGTAATTAAAACGCTTTTGAGTCAGCAATCTTTAAAATATAAAAAGCAGTCTTTAAAATATAAAAAGAAAATGCAAATGTTTGGCAGAGCTTTTCCTGTGGCAACATGAGGTGACTGGCAAACAAGCAACATCAACATTAACACGAGCAGCAACAACATCATCAACGGACAATGGCAGCAGCAACTGCAATGGCAACAGCAACAGCAGCAACATCAACTTGCAACATCAGGAAAAGTGTTGCTGCCGGTTGACTAGTTCTCGATGTTGTACGTTGCTGCTTGGCTTCCTTTTCTTGGGGGTCTGTGTAATTTGAAACACTTGTGTCAACGTGGCTAAAATACCCCCACAATTCGGCCCCCTCTTCTAACCCACTAAAGCCCCTGCTGCTGACATGCTTCCTTGGGTTGCTGCTGCTGATGTTGCTGCTGTGTTCATGTTGCTGTTGCTGCGGTTGTCAGCGTCTTATTATCATCATCAGTGGCAGCTTTTGGCGGTTTTGTATATTTGTAGCTGTCTTCGCTTTATATTTTTTTTATTTTATTTTAGTTTTAAGTTCTGGCAGAGAATTGTTTTGGGCTTTTCGGGGGTTTGGGGTCGGCTTGGGTGGTTGCTTCTTACAATGAAATTCACTTTGCCAAAAAGTTTTCATTTCATTAAAAACGTGGCTGTGTGGGTGTGATATGTGTGTGTGGTTAACTGACATGCAAGTAATTCATCAAAAGCAAATGCAACGCAGATGGGAGCCGAGAGTTTTCTGTGTCCACAACTTGCGCCCCACAGCTGCCATACACACATTTGCAAAAAAAAAAAAAAAAAAAAAAAAACACACACACACATTTACATTCATTTAAAAACACACAACACACATACATACTCAGCTGCGAAGACAAGACGTTGCAACAAAAAATAAATAAAAATAATAAATAAAAACACTGCGCTGCAAAGACTTGAAAAATAAAACAAAAACAAACCGAAAGTTTTGGCAAACACCAAGAAATAGTTGGTACAACAGGGGTTAAACGCAGCACATGAAAGGGTTAAGAGCAAGACAGGGTAAAGGGTTAAAAGGCATCACAGCTTGTGTGCAAATAATTTGCATAAAAATGAGAAATTTAGTTATTTTTAAAGGCACAGCACACAGCAGCACAATTAACAAATCTGGTAAAAAAATAAATTGGGAAAAGGGGTGTCCTTTTCCAAACCTATTTATCATAACCCCACACTCTCTTCTCGAACATCACAAATGTCAATCAAAGTTTAACAAATGAACAAAAGTTAGCCAAAAGTAGCCCAAATTAACGAATAACAAACAAAAAGTAAAAGAAATCATTTTCTCTTTTTACAAATCAAAAAAGTTTTCGTTTCCGTTTCCCTTTGTTTTGTGTGTTACATTTTCATATTAATTGACCTTTCGAAAGTTTTATAAATCGGTTTGGGAAATTGGTAAAAAAAAAGGTGTACCAGCCGACAAAATTTAAATGAAAAAGTCAACAAAAAGTTGGCCGCAGAAAGGGTTGATTAATAACGAATCAAGTAGAAGTTGTTGACTTGATAACTAGACATCATTAGAACCAACCTTCTCTTAAAATTTAAATATGAAATTTATGCTATGAAATAAAGCGAGCTCTTGTCTCAATTGGGCTCTAATTTGTTTACTCAGTGCTCGATACACTGTAACTGATTTTGGGTTCCGCTTTACCTTAGGCTAGCTGTGATTACTTAACTTTGCAACCCCCTTGAAAATGTTTCGGTAACACTAAAAATTCTTGCGCTTAATACATTCACTAAATATGGATGCCTCCAAACACCATCCCTGTTTTCTTTTTTTTTTTTTGTTTTTCATTTATGTAATAAACAATTTAACATTTGCTACTACAACATGTGTGTTTTTATGGTTGAGATTACGTTTTTTAGAGACTGTTGGTGAATGTGTAGTTAAATGTTTAGTCCCTTGGACTTTTAAATACTAAAACATTTGTGTTATATGATTGAGAGCTTGCGTTTTGGAGACTGTTGGTGAAAGTGTTGTTGAGTTTTTGGTGAGGTTTTCTAGAGTCCCTTGGACTATAAATTACAAACCTCTTTATGTGTGTTTTTTCCTCCACAATATATGTTGTTGAGGGCGTTGTAGAAATTATTTAGACAGCTTTTACTTAAAAATGTGTTGGAGCTTTTGGATAATGTGTTGGTGAAGTTTGGTGAATGCATTCAGTCCCTTGGATTGCATTTAATTCACCACCTTTTTTTTTGGGTTGAAAGTGTGTGTTGGCGTAAGTGTTGTTGATATCCTTCAACTGATGAAGAACGTCGTGTTGTTAGCCACTTATTTCTTCGTTTCGACCATGTATTGTTGGGTCTGTTGTTGAATGCGCTGGGTGAGTCCATTAGACTGCGTATTATAAGAGGCCGAGCAGGAGGCCAGACACGGTCGACAAGCCCATTAAGAACGGCTGTCGACAGTGCCAACTCCTGAGGAGGAGGAGGAGGAGGACGAGGAGCAGGGGAAGGGGCAAATGGTGACCCCGACGCAGTCCGGAGCCGGAGCTCATTTCGTTGTTGTCGATGGGGCCGCGCACTTCCGTATTGCCGCCGTAATAGGGCGGGGGCTTACGTGTGATGCCGCCCATTTCGCCACCAGGTGACCCCAAACCTCCGCCTGGTGACCCCGACCCACCACCACCGTGCTGGTTGTTGTGGTGGTGGTTGTGATGGTGGTGCTGCTGATGTTGATGCTGATGCTGATTGCCGCCGGAGTTGCCCGGCTTATGTGTGGCCGGTTTATTGCCGCTGGTGTAGTAAACGTGCGGCGATAACGGTGTCAATCCGCCGTTTTCGCCGCCCTCCGCCTCGAAATCCTCGGCGGAGCCGTACTGCAGCTCCTCGTCCTCCGGCTGGTAGGTGACTTTGACTTGTTGTTTCTGCTTCAAAATGTCATTGGCATCCGCATCCAGGCTTCCGCCGGCAGAGCCGCCCCCTCCACCGCCTGCCTTTCCGCCGCCGTTCAGCGGATTTTTATTACGATTCGGTCCGGGGATTTCTGAAAGGCAGCAGAAAAAAAAAATATATATAAAGAAGAACGGCGGAAAAACAAAGGAGCGAATGAGAAAATGTAATTGAAACAAAGGTGCAAATACGTCCCATTTCGCGAATTTGCGGCATTACAGCGGCGGTCAAGTGAATAGCAGAGCCAGAGGAAAACATTTCTTTTAACTTCCAAAATATATTATAATATTGAAATACATTTTTTAGTTTATATGCTTTTCATTTTGTATTTTAAAGTTCGTTATAAAAACATATATAAATGGCAACACAAATTGATTTAAAATTTATTTTCCATTAATGTCATGTTTATATAAAAATAACTATTTACAAGACCTAAGAACTAAACTAAGCATTTAACAAAATTTTAGCTTATGGCAAAAAATTTTGTTATTTACAAACATTTTTTTTCCACTGGAACACCATTAACTTGACCCCAACTGTACGCCACGCATTTATTACCCATTGGTGGGCTGAGGGGATGAAAAACTCACCATATAAACGGATACTGCTGTCGACTTCGCCCAGCGAGTTTTTGGCTATGCAGCGATAGGATCCGACATCGTCCTTCTGGAACTTCCGGACTATCATCGACATTTTGGTCTCGTACATGGACTGCGAACTCTCCTGCACATGATACTTGCCCGACGTCACAATCATCTCTCCTAGTAAATGATTAGGTCATAGACATTAGCATCTACTAATTGTTAAATTTGGTTAAATATTTTGAAAAACAGGCTGTGACTCTAAAATCTGGCAAACATCAGACTTTCACACACAGCTGAGAGCTCATTTCATTATATTTTCTCCTGTAGTCCACATCACATCCAGTTTCATTAAAAAATTTATATAAAAAAAAAGGAAAAAAATTTCCCCAAGGAAATTCTACCGTGGAACTAAGTCGCTTTAACTTGATTTTCTTCATCTCCTCTGCTATTGGGTAAGTGAAAAGTGATTCAAAACTAATACTTTCGGTGCATTCTGCGACTAAAAGCCCCCCAAAAAAAGTCTCGCCGGGTTTTAAGAATTTAGTGTATTGTGAGGGGGGATTCCCCAAGTGCCATTACCATCGAACTGCACCACCTGCAACGAGCGAACGTGCCACAATCTGACAACTGACTAATGACAATGCCAAGCGATTCGTTTCGTTTCGTTTCGAATCGATGTTGGAGTAATGATGCGTTCGGTCCGAAGCCCGACATCTGCATAGATATATGTACCCACATATCTGCCCATATATGGATATATATATATATATATATATACATTTATATATATATATGTATATGTATTTGTATTTGACGATGCAGACGGGTCTCCACAGTCCACACTCCACTCGCACACACTTACCCGTGTCCTTAATCCAGTAGTTAATTGATTTGGGCGAGGCCTCGACGTGACACTCGATTTGGACATCAGTGCCAAGTGGTGCGCCGACTAATTGATTCGGCACTTGGATGACCGGATGAACTGCAACGAGACGGAGCATGGGTAGATGGTTAGGGGTATGGGCATGGGCATGGGTGCGAGAGGTGTCCCAATAAAACAAATGTTGCCGGCCCATTGGCCATTGGCTCAGGTTGGCATCGAAGCGTTGAGCTTCTTACGCCGCTTGGGTCAACTAATCAGGGCCATTTCTAATCTGGAATGAACCAATTTAGCCCAGCTTTTAATTTAAAAGTATTATTTTCTATCGAAAATACATAAATTTAAAATATATGTATTATATAGCCTGGCAAAATTTACTTTACTTACTTTATTTATTCTTAAACTTCTGACCTATTGAACATTTTTTTTTGCATTCAAAATTAAGCTACAACCTCTGAATAATGAAAAAAAAACTGAAAATTAATTAAAATTTAAACTACAATATATTTAACTTAAATAAAATGCATTAAAGTTAAATAGGAACTATTTTAAATCTATATATTTGCAATTTAATATACAATGTATTTAGCATTTGATTTAATTATTTCATATAAAATGTAAAATTCAGTGTATTTACTAGGTTTATTTTACTAAATTCAACATCTTATGAGGGCAAAGTGTTCTGCGCGCTCGGATTTTAACATTTTTTTTTTCAATTTACTGTCTTAAACGAATACATTATTTATTCTTATCTAATTTGAAAATAATTATATTTCGCCGGCAGTATTGTATATTGATCACCCATTTTAAGATGTCGGACTACTCGAAATTCCTGGCCAACTTGACGGATCAGCTGGGCCTGTTGCCAGCACTTGCATCAAACGGATTTGCAGGATTTGGAGGATTGGGCAACCTGGGCAACCTGGGCAACTTGGGCAACCTGGGCAGCCTGGGCAACTTGGGCCACTTGGGCACCAATCTGGGCAACCTGCGCCCCGCCCATAAGGCGCTGATGTGTGTGGGCGCGGCCACCGTGGCCTGCGTGGTCTTGGGCCTAACAGTCAAGTCCTTGAAGGGGCGTGGTCGCAAGGAGGACGGCGACAAGCAGAGGACCATCAAGGTGCAGAACGGGGCACCGATCAAGCAAGACCTTGAGGGGGCTGCTGACAAGGACGACGGCACCGGGACTGGAAACGGAAACGGGACTGGCATCTTCGGGGAGGGGCATGCCCCCTAAAAACAGCCAGAAGAATCGCCACCCCATTGATCCGCAATACCCAGCACACGCCTCACGAAATCAGAACCCTCCACCATACAAAATACCCTGTTTTGTGCGTTGCAATGTTATCTATATATTTTGTAATTTTATACCGTTTACCACAGCGGTTATTTAAAATGTCATCCTACTTTTACTACTGCACCCTCATTATCCTGTATTGTCTTGCACCAATGTCAGACTCTCAGGAAAATGGAGGCTTAACGCATATACGGAGCGATCCTGCCAATCAGTGTAGCCAATACTGTGTGACCAAGCTGCATCCGATTATCCACAACATTCCCGAAGCCCAAAACGTGTTGGCCAGAATCGAGGACGAGCAGTACACGCAAAAATGGACGACCAGAACACATCCCCCCACTCCTTCGAGATGAGAATGGAAGGTCGGCTGCAGGAGCTACAGCTGACAATGGTACACCAAATGACCAACTTGAGGCTCTTTACGAACTTGGAAGCCAAAAGGCCAAAGCCATCTCGCCAAAGTTTCAGCGGATCGAAAATCAAATTCAGCTAGATCATTTTTCCGCTGCCATCGCCGAATGGCGAATTTGATCGCGTCATTGCGAGAGTGCAATCAGGCACTTGGTATCATCTTGGCATCAACGCTCTGGACAACAAGTACGTGTTCGTATCAGGCATCAGCGGCATATTTAACGTGGTTTTCGGGATACCCCGACGACACAGGATGCGTTTATCTAAAAAATGGGAGAATTGGTTCAGATACTTGTTACGACGAGTGCTATTTCATTTGTCAGGCAGACAGTGAAATATAAAAAGCAATCATTTTAGGCATATTTTATTCCGAATTGAAAATTGTAACTGTTCCATTTTACAACGTGGCATATCTTAAATAATACAAAACAATAAATAAAAGATCAAACTTGGTATCATCTTGGCATTAACTCTCTGGACAAGCCAGCCACATATTTAAAGTTGGGTACGAGGGTTGTAGCAATGTGGATCCCCTTAGCCAAGAAGGAAGATGCGTTTTACTACAGAATAAATGTTTTCATCTAGTTGTTACGAGTATAATAACTTCATATGTCAGGCAGACGATAAAATATAAAGACACAATTATTTTAAACACAGAACTTTCGCTTGGAATTTAAAGATTGTTCCTATGGCAGTTATAAATAAAAATCTCCGAAGTGGGCCATATATTGTTTACCTTATCTGTATAATTTAATTGATAAAATATATATATATATAATTTTCAGAAATAAATGAAAATGTTTATTTAAAATGCTACCCTTGCTAGTGTTTTGTGTGTATACCATATCTGTGAGCCTTTTCATTTTGCAGACATTTTGCAGGCATTCAAAAAGGACTCCCCTTTGAGGGCAGAACAAAAGTTGGCTGGCGCACTTGAAGGCCAATTGAGTGTGGCATAATTTGATGGTGTGCGCTCCTGGTTTTCCCGCTTTTCCGCTTCCCCCTTCTCGGGTGAAAAGCCGACCTTTCCCCACTCATTTTGCAGGACTCATCAGAATGCAGTTCATGCAGAGAACGTCGGACGCTGCATTCACAACTCTTTTGCCGATGGCCAACTTTCGTATTTATTGTCACTTAGGCTGGGTCCTGAAGGGGTTGCCATTTCGGGGGAGGTCCTCTGGCTCCTGACCAAAATTGGTGGTTTTGTAAAACCAGGCAGGAGGACTGAAAGCCGAAAACTCACAGCTCACAACTCACAGCTTACAGATTGCACATTGTCTCCGTCTATTTTCCTCTCCGCCCTTGAGACATTTGCGGCCATGTGCATTGATAGTTGATTGCAGGTCCTGCTCCGTGTTTCGTCACAGGACGCAGGACATAGGACACAGGACTTTCCCAGCCAGCCGGAGCATTTTAATTGATTTCCATGGCCGACTGCGCTCTGTCTAAGCCATCAGCCATCAGCCATCAACTATCGACTATCAACTATGAACTATCTCTAATGCTGCTTGTGGTTAGTCCTCTTAAATTTCATTTATGCATATGAAATAACGAGGCGACACTGCTTTTTTGCTCCGCCCATTTTCAAAATTTTTAATAAATTATATCTGCCAATCACTCTTAAAATCAATTTGGTTTGAATTCTGATTGGCATTAACATACAAAAAAAAACGTTTTTATTGTAAATAAAACTTATGCATTCACTATTTTATGTGCAAACATTTCTGCATGCTTAAAATTTACAGAAAATTTCAAAACAGTTTTAAAAACTACAAGACAACAAAACTAAAATGAAAGCACACATAAATCAAATAAGCCAAAATATTTCTAATGAAGTGCGATCAAAGTACACTTTAAAAAACGTAGCACACTAAAAATATTAAATCCCTAAGATCGTGATATATAGTTACCTTTTATTGGAAATAAATAATAATAAATAAATATAATAATTAATAATAATACGCCCACATTTTAGTTAATGTTTATATGCAAGGAAAGACTGAAAGAAAACTCGAAGCTTTTGTTACATTTCGTAATCTTGAATTTCAAAAACTAACTTTGGTACCGGTTGGCGTGCTGGTCAACTGTCCCTGCTTTAGCCCTAATCCACATGGGGATCGCGGAATCGGGAACGGGGAGAGATCCCCTAGAAACTGCCACATTTCGGGTCTATCCTCGGTGCATTTGTGCCGGATAAAGGACCTGCAACCGGCAGCAGTTGTAGTCTCTCGGCACTTTCACTGGGCTATTTGCAATTTTGCAATGATTATTCTGAGCATGTTCCTGCCTGGACATCGGCCACCGGCCATCGGCCATCGGCCACCTTTCAACCTTTCACCTTTCACCTTTGGGCCTTTCAGCCGTTCAGCCATTTGGCCAGGTGCTTTTGGTCTGCAGCTCGCTCCGTTTTGCGGCAAACAAAGCCACAAATATGCACTAATGACGTCGTCAGCTGTTGCCACTCCAGCCAGCCGCCCGCCCCGCTTTTCCACATTTCCCCCAAAAATTTCCCAGCATTTTGCAGCAGCAGACTCGCATTTCGGGCAATTGTTTTCGGAGAGCTTGAGTTGGTCGAAGGTGAAAAAAAGTCTGAACTCATGCGTGCTGTAAGCTGCTACTCCGCGTGCAGTGCGTTTCATGGGCATAGTTGTGTGCCAGAGTATGAGAGCTCGCAAGAGGAGTAAGTTCCTGAAACATTACGAGGCTTTAAGGCCTCCTAATGAAGGGGAAAAGTGTATAGAATGCAGTAAGCAACAGAGTAAATATATCCAATTCCTTAACTTTAGTAGCATCTGTATGTACATAAGTAAAATTTCAATTGAAATCTTTAATTGTAAAAAAACATGGTAAATTCATATATTTTGTACTCAATTTAAATATTTTTCGCTGGATGAAAATCACATTTCGGTTTTTAGTTAGTGTAAATATGAACATATTAAAAATTTTATTTAATTTTTATTTTGGAATTTCGGAGTTGATTTTAATATCTGAACATTTGATTTAAATTTAAACCATATTTTATTTATTTATATTTATTTTTTAAAACAATTTTAAAACTAATATTTTCCACATTTATTGAAATATTTCAATATTTATTCTTGTTATTTAATTTGCATTGTATTTAAAATTATGATTTTATATTTAAATTTGAATTCAAAAGTCACACATTTATTTGTACTATTTAGTTATTTATTAATGCAAATATGGCACATTCAATGTTGTTAAAAAAGGCAGGATTTTGGTACTTAAACATTTTTTTCCCTCAAAATTATATTTCTTCCCTATATAATAAACCTAAAAATATTTTTCGAGTCTAAAATTTGTTGCATGTTTAACCTGCACCACAGTGCTTAAAGGGTTAGCCTCTGTTTTTTTTTTTTTTACCCCACAATGACGGATTTCTAAGAGAAGTGGTCAACATCCGTTGGTTTCGTATTTTTTTCGGTGGCTTTTGCACGTACGTGATTTTTCTTATTTTGCAGCATTTATTTTGTGTGCGTTCGATTTGCGGCTCCTGGCGGCTGAGGCGGCAAAGGCAAAAGGAGGCGTGACAGGTGGAAAAACCAAACGTGCCACGTGACCAAGAGTGAAAATGCAAATGCAGATGAAGACGGCATTTCCGGACTGGTGAAAGATGCAGTGTTTCGCATAGCGAACGACATGTTGCTCGCGGGATGTTGCATGCTGCATGCTGCATGCTGCATGTTGCAAGTGGCTGGCGGAATGTGCCAAGCCACCAGTTCCTGTTGCACATCCCATAGGTGCAGCTAATTAGGGGAAGCGCCTAATGGGGCGGCGAACGGAACGGAAAGCACAGTGCGACGGATGCGACAAATGCGGAATGTGGCAGGCTACTACACTGCCAGAAAAGTCTAAGCAAGTTGAAAATGCATTGCTGATTTTTAATAACATGTAAGAAAGTAGACAGTAAAATAAAATAAAGTTTTAGTTCCAGTGAGAAAGAAAAACATTTAATTATTTCAAATGTGAATAAAAACTAAAGAAAGAAAAAAAGATTCAAGTATGGTTATCTAAAATTTAGATAAAAACTTACAAAACTAGATCCTATATTAAAATATTAAAAAAAACCTGGCTTAAGGCAGCACTTTTCCGCAGGTACTTGATACCCCCGATTGTTTTCAGTGCTCCTTTATCAGCCACTTGCAGCAACGGCGAACCATTTGCAACTGAACCATCTTGTGCAACTGACTCCGCGGAAAGTTTCCGGGAGAAGAGCACCCACCAACTCTTTGGCAAACAAATTGCAAGGAAGTTGTTGCAAAATGGCAACAGGAAAAGTAAACACGCACCGGAAACGGGGGAAAAGTGGGAAACTGGGGGGTTGGGGAAAATCAAGGGTAAGCTGCGGGGACCACTCGAGTTGATCAAAAAGTTTTCCCAGGTTTCCACCTCGACTGCTGCTCGAAGATAACTGCAAACCAGCGACTGTTTACTGCTGACAAGTGGTCCGAAAAGTTGAGCTCGAATGGTGGCAAACACGGCGATACCTCTTTTTTTTTACCAAAATAGTGTTAATAAAATATCTATTGTAGATTTATTGTGCATTAAAAAACTCATATATACATATATCGAAAAGTAATTTACTGTGATCTTGTTCGCAGCTAAATAACAGAGATCTTTGAGTATATTTCACCCATCCATCTTTTTTTTTTTAAACTTTAAAAGAAATTAAGAACTTAACAAAATTTAGAATGCAACAATTTTAATGACTTATAGAATTTTTTTAAAAGCAACCTACAAACATTTAAGGATATGACCTAGTTATGGTAACTCTCCAGTAAAATACATTTTTGGAATTAAAAAAATTAGTGCTAAACAATAGTACATAAAAACAGTCATTTTTGTTTTAAGATTTAATTTTTTATTGCTCAGCTTTAATGTTTCACCTCACACATGGTCGTAGTGCCACTTAAAGACCGCATTAACACAATGTCAAAATGTTAAAAGGCGTGATTTTGCCACCTAACTCGTAGGGTGGACCCAAAAAAAAGGGTGGTGCAGTGGCAAGCGAGCCAAAAAACAAATGGGGCTATGAAAGGGGAGAAGGAGATGGCAAACAAACGCAGTACCATCCAAAAAACCCCCTTTGTTTGCCACACCCCTGGCTGGCTGGCTGCCTTGATGATTGAGTGAACTGCCACATGGCAGCAGAGTCAAAAGTGAAAAAAAAAACAAGGAAATGGGGGGAAAAAAGGGGCTGCGAAAAATGGTAGGAGGGGCAGCACGTGCTGCAGACATTTTGACAAAAAAGCTGTGGCCCACCAAGTAGCACCTTTTCCACCCAAAAAAAAAAAAAAAAAGCAAAGTCGGAGCAGGTAATGCCCGGTATCAGTGACAGGATTTAAACGGATTACAACAAGGACAATCGAGTTAGCACGGCACATAGAGCATAGGAACCGAGTTTACCTTCTGTCTTCTGTATTTTGCCTTCTGCCGTTTGCCTTCTAACACACCACCACCCCCCGCATATTTTTCCCTATTATTCCTTGCTCTGCGGGACATTTCCTCAGATGGAGAGCACTTCCTGTCCACCGAGGTTCCTAAGGTTCATTAAAAAAAAAATAAATAAATAAACAAAATAAATAAAAATATTAGATTTGTAATTTTTGTTTTCTTATATATTAACTTGCTGAATTTTACTCCTTGATAGTTTCTTTAAATAATTTCAGTTGGCTTAGCCCTATTAATATTTTTCTATTATAAATTATTTGTTATTCTTGTTGAAATGTTTAAATTCACAAGCTTACAACAAACAAAAAAAATTATTTTAGATTTTTAACTTGATTTAATAAATTTACTTGCAGAATGTTACTCCTCAATAATTTCTTTAAAATGTAAATAATTACAATTGGCTTTGCTTTATTAACACTTTTCTAAATACAGAAGTGTTAAAGTAATATTTTGAGTATATAAGATATGTGAAATTGTTAATATTAGTATTAGCTAGATTAGCTTTTATAACTCATAGCATATACTTTTATATTACTTGTATGATCGAAAGAGAAATCTAAAGCGTAGTTTCCCCACCCATTTCTCGCAGTGTGCGAACTTAATGTAAGATAAACGCCACAGCTGCCGTGGCCAAAACCCAGCTGGTTGACTGATGTTCATGATGGCAATGGCGAAGATGAGGTGATGGTATGCGGATGAGGATGAGGATGCGGATGTGGATGCAACAGCGACACGGAAAAGAGTTGACCAACCGCAGGCTCCTCTAATTAATGGCGCAGTGCCAGAACGAGGGGGCAAATACAAATACTCACAGTGTATGCTGAGGGAGATGCGCTTCGAAACCGATGGGGGCACTCCATTGGAGGCGATGCACAGATAGGAGCCCATTTCGTTCCTCGAGATCTTTGACAGCTTCAGCACCTCGCCGCGAAACGAGGGGGCTGCAAAGGGCGGGAAACGGGAAAAGGGAAAAACAAATAGAGTTTTCACCGGAAAAGCGCCCAAGTGCCAATTCGGTACTCACCCAGGGTCTTTGTGCCCACATTGTCCTTCAGGACAATCTCGTTGCCGTCTTCGCGCCGCCAGGTGACAATCGGTTCCGGGTATCCACGGGCTCTGCAAGTGAAATGCCGCAAAGGTACAGTAAGGGCTCGATAGATATCATCCAGCTTAGTTATATTAAATATGAAAATGTTAAAAATTTAAAAATTTTTTATTTGACTATTTTTGGAATTGATCTTAACAGCTGAAAATTGTATTTAAATTCAAACCATTTGTTACTTAAATAAAACGTATTTAAATCGTATTATTCACACAATAATTAAACTATTTTAATATTAAATCATGCAACTTAATTTGCATTGTATTTATTATTGTACTTTAATATTTAATTTAAATATTATTGATACAATTTTGAATTCAATAGTCAGATATTTATTTTTACTATTCAATTTTTTATCAATGCAGAAAATATATACATATATAAATATATCTGCACTTTTGTTCTGATTTCAGTATATATGTTCAGCGGGAATAAATTACTTATTTTAAAAACAAAACAAGTAAACAAAAACCCAAAATTGTATATAAATGCTTAACACAAACTTTTTTCTTCAGAAACCCTTCTTGATTTTTGACTGATACTAAAACCAACGAGATCGGAAAACATTTGAGAAACAATAAACAAACTGACCACGCCCCCTCAATAATGATGAGTAATGGAAAATGGCCAGTGCCAAATGGAAGTGCCGAGATGCCAAATGGGAAATATTCAAGTTCAGTGGCTTATTAAATTTAATATGACGATGCTTCAGCTGAGGGCTTCACTCCATTGTGCCCGTTGTGGAGCAAAAACTTTTTATGCAATGCAAAGGCAGAGCGGAAAAGTGGAAAAGCGGAAAAGCAGGCAGGCAAAACGGAAAACGCTTGAAGCCAGCAGGCGCTCAAGTGTGTGGTGCAGTTGCGAAAATTGCGGAGAAAGCACTTGATCGACGACGGAACCTATTTCAAAACCTATAAAACTTGTGGATACAAAAATTAAATAGACATTTTATTGAACAACAGTAGTTTTAAAATTGTAGAAAAATGTCCATACAGTTTGTTTAAAAATAAATATTTAAAAATTTCAATATATACAGTAATTTAAAAATCTTGTAATGGTTAATTTATCAGAAAAGGTTCTGTAAAAAAAACAAAACAAAAAACTGTTTTATATGCCTTATTGGTTTTATGTTACTATTTTTTCGTTACCCATTTTATCAGTTAACAAATGGGCAAATAAAGAAAATATATAATATATATAAACATAGAAAAAAACCAATTTGTATGCCTAATTGTTTTTATGTTAATAATTTCACGTCGTCCATTAAATTTACAAGTTTATAAATGGGCAAACAAATAAAATATATATAAATATCATATTATTGACAAAAAGTATAACAAAAATTTATCAATATTGACGTTTATATAATTTTAGTTTCACAATTTTGAATATGGATATTAACATTTCAATAGTTGATTTATCAAGACAATCTAAATTGTTGAAATTTTTTTAAATGAATTGAATTATGTTACTCAGCTGAAGAGCAAAAAGAGCAACAAATAGTCAATATACCCTTTGATCTTCTCGAGCAGAGGGTATTTCGAGGAGAAATGCGTGTTAAGACAGCAGTTGTTCAACAGCGAACCAGACACGGGTGTGGTAAATTTTTATGATGCCGCAAACAGATGCAAAATGGCTAAAAAGAAAATCAGCCAGCACACACAGATACAGATGCTCCCGTACAGATACATCTACACCCACACGAATACTCCCGCCCACACCCTCGTGGCCAACACAATGGCGACTGGGTAGAAAACAGTTAGCAGTCAGCGGCAGTTTGTTAGCCATGTTTAGTCGGGCCAAGACAGTCCCTCGTCTTCCGCTCAAGCAAGTGCAATTTACATGGCCCAAAGACGGCTAGACGAGGCAAATTTCAGTTGGCCCACAACTAATTCAACAACTCACAGATAGACCTTCGCTGAGTGACCTTCTTTGGTTCGTTTTGTCTTTAAATTTACACAAAGAAAGGAAACTAATGCCCAAATTTCGCTTTAAAAATGAATAATTTTATTTGGATTTCAGGAAAATTCTTACCCCTAACAACAAGGCTCAAATTTATTAGTTGATGCTTTTAACGTTAATTTCGCTAAAGTTGAATTCATTTTAAGGGATTTGCACTAAGTGGCATTAAAAATGAACAGAAAACAAAAGGGAAAACTCGCAGACAAGCCCTCTAATAGCTTTCCACACTCGCACATTCACACATGGAAAAGCAAGAAAAGCGGGAAAGCGCGCTTATCGCCATCGTTTCATCATTTTGCGGTTAAATTGCTAACAAAAAAGGCGGAGAGCAACACTTCGTGGTTGTGGTCAAGTTCATAAAACAGCCACCAAACCAAAACCCCAAACACAAATTAGAGACTCTTTTTTGGTCGGGAATACCCTAATGCCATAATACCCCTTGAAATGACTTTGGAAAATGGCCATCTTCAAGCCACATATTAAAAACTAAGTAGAACCCCTGCTGGATTGGGACCTCTTCAAGAAACTAACATACCCATTGGACTGAACACCAGGGTAGCCAAGGAGTTTCAGTGCTAAATCAAGAGAAATGAAGTGTCACTTAATTTGTTGACATTATTACACCGACAGAGAATGAAAGTTAGGAAAAGGAAAGATGGAAGACAAAAAAGAGGCAAAGGAAAAATGTCATTTAACACGCGCAGTCGAAACTAAAAATGGTATTTCTTTAAGTTTCTGCAAATATCAACTACTTAAACATTTCTCTCATATTTATTCAAAAGTTCTACGAGTTGAAAAGAAGGACTTTTGGTCATAAACAAAACTTATGGCAGAATATATAAATAAATATAATACTATATTGCAAGCAGATCCTACTTAATAGTTTCAATAGATGAACGGGTAAGATTTATTAAGATTTAAGGCAGCATATAAAATTGAATGTAATATTATTACATTGAATTAAAAAAAATCATATGACGAGTTGTTTTGAAATAAAAAAAAACCTTTTTGTTCATATACGCTTAGGAATATGATTAACTTATGGTCTTTGATGCTTAAATGTGCTTAATAAACCCAAAAAGATAAGTAATTCTTTTTAAGTTTGATTAAATGTTTGTCGTTAAAAGGGAAGCTAAAACCATACACGGTACATACTCACCGACATGTCAATCGCACGGAACTGCCCTCGGGCACAATCACATCGGAGGAGGTGTCCTCGCTGATGAAATCCGGCGGAATCACGACATCCAGGAAGCCGATCTGCAAGTACCAAAAAAACCGGAGTGGAGCCAACAAAAGCATTAGCACGCAGCAGATTTCATTTCACTTACTTAAATTATCACAAATTGCTAAGGGGACAAATACGCAATCATGTGCACTCGCAGAAAAACGTAGCCCTTATTAATATTTAATATTATTATTAATATTATTTACGACTTAAGAAATGTTTTTTTTCGAAATCGTTATAATCTTAATATTATTATTCTTATCAATTGTCCTTAAGTTAACTTATTCATTTTCTTATTTTGTAAAACAACCCTTAAATTCTTTTAAATTGAATAAATCTAAGTTTACATTTTAATTAATTTATTTTGTGAAAATGTTTAAATTTGTTTACAAAACTGCATTTACTTATTTACTTTTTAAAAATCTAGCAGTAAATCACAATGTTACTAACTTGTAAATTGATTTACTTGGTAAAAATTTCGCAAATATAATAATATAAAAGTTTAATTACCATTTAAAAGATTGACATTAATATAGGTAGCTTATAAAATTAATTTACATTTAATTGGGGCTCAAACTCGATGCCTAATAGCATAAGAAAACAAATTTCTCAAATATCCTTTAGATATTTCTTTCTGTGTACACTGGGCGAAAATTCGCTGATTATGCAAGTGGCTCGTAAAGGCGGAGTAACGGCAAAGTGTTTTATATGGCGACTGGTGAGTAAAGCGAAGAGATGGCGAATAAACTAAGAATAAACTAAGCCAAGGTGAATAGTTTAAGACTAAAAAAGGGGGAGGGGCGACAAAGGAGGCGGGTAGTACGGTGCACTTCGACCCTGCTGTGTTGTTGTTGTTTTTGTGAAAAGCGTAAAAGTGCAAATAAAAATTAAGGAAGCATGAAATACATTTTATTGGCACCATAAACTTCACTTCGCTGGACACACGAGTGTACGTGTGAGCGGAAACACACCCGCACACATACGTCCAAAAAAATTTATGTGTGTGTGCGTACATGAAGCTGCCAATTTATATGCCCCAACATTTTCCTTTTTCGCATAGTTTTCGCTTTCGATTTGCTGCGCTTTCTTTTACTCAACAAGCAGAAGAATAAGTGGGTGGAAAATGTGGGAAATCGACGGGGGGAAAAATGTAGGAAATGGCGAAAAACAAACAATAAGAACGGCAAGTACAACAGCTCAATGCATTCACATTTTCCTTCACCGTTTAATGCCGCATGAAAGGAATGGTTCGGAAAATAGGAAACAACATTTTCAAAACAACGAGCAAAAACCGATGGGGTCGCACAAACATCATAAATATAAAATATGTATCGAAAAGCTAGATCTAAAGCTAGTTAAAATTAGAAAAATATTTTAATGACTTTTGTTGCAGAAAGTGTGAAGGTTGAACAATTTTAATTTATTAATTATTAACTTCTGAATATAAAAGAATGGATTTTCAGTTCAGCAAACATTACTTACTTTACTAAAGAAGGGAATTTGGCTTTTTCTTATTATGGCATAACAATTGTTTACTTATATCTTCTTAAAATTATAAAAATCCATAGATTTAAGATTTGCAGTGTTCCCTTAAATTCAATAATATTTACTTAACACATTTTCCATACATACAGTGCGTATGCGTTATTTAAATTCACACTCGTCACTCGTTAAGTATACGTAGTTAAGTTTAAATAGGTATTAAACTAACCTGACTTTTCATAGGGTCCGTGTTTAATTGGCACATGTAACCGCCGCGATCCTCTTCGGAAACAGCTTTTATATGGAGATTCCACGTGTTTTGGTCCAAATGACTGACCGTGACACGCGGATTGTGGGTGATCACGTTCTCGTGAATTGCTTGGATGGCCTTGGTGTCGGCCTTGAGCCAGCCCACCTGCAAAAAAGGGATGAATAGTTAAATTGCTTGCACATTTTACAAACTATGATTACAAATTAATTCTACCTTTTAAAACAATGCATGGATGTGACATATAGTACCTAATTAACCCAAATATTTTTTCATTAAGGTATTTAATTTTTAAGACCGCATAGTTTAAATGAAAGTTTTTTAAAGTTACACACAGAAACTTATTAGTGAAATTTCTATTATTGAAATTTCTAAATAAGATGAGTACTAAATCAATACAGTTTTAGGCTCTTCGATATGGAAATGAAACTAAAAAGTACAGGGGTATATTATTTAGCATTGAATTAATAGTTGTACTTGAATACTGTCTTTAATCAATTTTTATTTGGATCACGGATTGTACTTTTAATTAATTGCATGGTTTAAACTTATTTGTTTTTCAGTGCAGTGCCGTTCACTTGACTGACTTACCCGATAGCCGCCCAAATGTCGGACGTGACACGTGAAGGTTGCATCGCGTCCGACGGCCACGGACACGTTGGAAATGCTCTCCACGAACTCCGGCTGAAAGGCGCCAATTGCTGCAAGGACGAAAAAAAAGGAGCAAGATTAGAGTGCATCTGTGTTTGTGTGTGGTTGTGTGTGTGTATGCTTGTGTGTGTGTGTGTGGCAGTTAATGATATCGCGCCAGTTTACTGGCAATGCATTCAAGGCAAGTCCTCCCCCCTTCAAAATCCCTCGTCCACCTCCCATGTTGCGCCTGCCAAAAAGCCCGTGATTTATCGCTTTTAAATGTGCCCCGAAACCACCCAAATTCACCCACCACCCACTGCACTCCGGCCTCGCCAAGCCAACAACGTAACTGTGCCAGACGACCGGCGGCAGACAATTTAAAGAGTCGCGGCTGCTAATTGAAGATCGACATCCGGCACTACGGCTATGGCATTACGGCACTACTTCACTACTTCACTCCGACTCTGCGGGAAACGAAAGTCCGGAGTACGGATACGGATACGGATACGGTTACGGGTAAGGGTACGGGTAAGGGTAAAAGTACGGGTATGGTTACGGGCCACACGCAAATATAAATAATTTATTGAATCATCGAAAATCAAACATTTCACTTGCAAGTGCTGCAAAAAAGTTTGCCAGGCCGTTAACGCAAAAAGGAAAAAATGAGGAAGTAATAGTGAAATAGCCAGCAGGCGAAATACTCTATACTCTATTTAAAATAATCGCAATTTTTATGTTTCAATCCATCGTCTGCGAGGAAAATATTTAAATTTTATAAAAGTTTTTAACCTTCACGCTCTAAATTTAGTCTTTTTAATTTAATGCACACACAAATATCACAATAAAAGTAGAGTTCGTCAACGAAGATTTCTTTATTAAAGAAACAGTAAATAAACATTACAGATTTTAGAGTCCCTGTTTTAAGTAGGTTCACATTTTAACATAAGCAAGGAAAAAATTGTCCTTTAATTTCATAAAGAAAAATAAAAAAAATTGTTAAGAAAAAAGGAGAGCCAGTAAAAAATGAGATCACCTGCAAAATCCGGGTGACCCCTTCGAGAGGTATGGAAAAAATAATGGAACCGAAGGAGGTTAAGCGGGAATAATGGGCGGAGTGGATCGAGGGGTTTTGGTTTTACCAGACAGCAGCAGCCACGCACGACTGCTGTCCTGGCCGCAAAGTCCCCCGAATTTCCCCACCCGATTTTCCCTTCCCTCACAGACTACCGTCTACATCATCGTAATGCATGCAAAAAACTTTTGGCAAACTTGAAATTTAAATATTTATAGACAGAACCGTTGGCTCACGAACGGATTGCGGGGGATCGGGTGATCGGGGGATCGGGGTTCCGAATATTGTGTGTAGAAATATATATGCGTATAGTACAGTATGGTATACGTTGTACATTATACGACGAGATGTGCCGAAGAATGTGCTGAATTGACTCAATTGGCCAAAGGCATGATTTATCGCACTTTCGGTGACTGCGACTGTGTGCCTGCCAAATGCAAATGCAAAACGGATTCCCAGGAACTTCTACAGTTGATAATCTGGATAATCCACTTGCCGGCCACAAGCTAAAAATATATTCCAGCAAGTTTTTCTGGGCAGACGAATAATTTCATTGGTGAATTAATTGCTGCGATGCATTTAATTCAAGATCGAATTGATTGAAATCATTATTGATTTATTGGCGGGCGAATTCAATGAACAAAACAAAGGCTGAATTAGCAAACTAAATTCATGGCAGCATTTAAAGTGTTGCCTTTCGTTCAAGATTTTATTTCCAAATTTATGGACTCTTTGATAAATAAGTCAACAATTATCCAGTGGATAGGAATATAATTTTGTATATTAACTGTTCATATTTTATAAATTTTATAATTTTACTTGAACAATTTTATTTTATAAGTAAATTTGAAATTTTAGTTGGAATTAACTTAAAACAATTTTGACACTTATAATAATAGCACATTTAATTTTATGTGTATGGAATATATATTTATTTTATAATTAGTTAAGGCTATTGAAACACTTTATAGGTTTAAATTTTAGTTGGAATAAATGTTAAACAATTTTAATTGATTTATAATGCGGTACATTTAATTTAACATTTATATTTCTAAAATTAAATATTTACTGTTTCAGTAAAATAAATTAAAATAGTTTTTAGTGTGTTTTTAAAAGCAATGCAATTTATTTTGATTTGACACACAAAATGGTGAGTTGTTTACGAAATGAAATCATTCGATTTAGTTCTGAGTGCAACATATGGACTAGGAAAGTCCGAGATTTGGCATCAAGTGGCTGGCAAAGCCAAAGTGTTGTGGGTGCGGACGGTACAGTGGAGCCTGGCCTGCGGCAGCCCCTCGCCTTTCGCCCCTCTGGCAAATGGTAAATGGCAAATGGCAAATGCTGTTGCTGCTTGGCTGACTGCGGCTTGTTTGTCAATCTGTCGTAGATGCTGCACTGCATGCAGGCGAAGATGTTTTCCAGCATTGTGCCAATCCCAATGAACTTGTCACTGGTCCTCAAGTCCCCTAGACCCCTGGACCCCTGGACCCCCCCTCAATTACCAGCCACCCAGTTGTTTGTGAACTTTGGCCTGACTTCTGGTCGCCTTTCTGCCTGGCATTTTGCGAAGCCAAGCCAGAGTCAATTAACCCCCGACTTGGGTCCACTCAAAATCCAGAAATCCAGGTCCCCGCCTCATAAATCTCCGCCCTCATTTCAATTTTCGGCTCCACCATTTGGGGTCTTGTCAATTTTTGGCTCACATCCCGAGCCCGAGGCTCCCTTTCGCATTTTCGCATTTGCTCGGGAAAAAGTTTAAATCACACAACGACAATGAGGATTTGCCGAAGCAAATTTATGGCTAAGGACATTGGCAAAAAGTTAAGCAAAGGAAACGTATTAGTTTTGGCTGGGTTTTTTTTTTTTTTGGGGGGGTGCAAAGGTGGCTGGGTGTCTTTTACACATATGGTATGTGGGTGGCAAGGTAAACACACACACACGATTCGGTTACAGGCGATACAGAGATTCCAATCTGCATGGGAATGACAGGAGGGACTGGCGACCGAAAACTCTGATTTCTGCACTCAGAGAAAGGTTCTATTTAAAATGGGAAAACAAATGTATAATCATGTTTTTTATAAAACTGTTAGTTCATACCGATTTCTGTGCTCTTACAAAAAAATAGGTCTAACAAATTACCTACACTAATGAAAAAACATTTAGCGTGTTGCAAAGACACCATTGCTTTTTAATAATAATATTAATGCATGTAAAATTGCATGGTTTGGTATAAGAAAATATTTTAATTAATGTGAAAAAATAATAGATATATAAAATAGTTTATTTCATTTAAATGCATTTTTAATTTAAATATGGTTTAAATTGATATTAAAATGTTAGACTAAAATTTAAATGTTAGATGTTAAACTCAGTTCCGTAAATAGTCAAATGCAAAATTATAATATTTTCATTTTTAAAATCAAAGCGAAAAGTATTTTCTTTTATCAGTGCGGTAAAACATTGAATTTTGCTCAGTGTACGGTGTCACCTTTTCCTTGGCCGTTCGTTTTTTATGGCCTCACACTTGGACAGGCCCACAAATCCAGTTGCAAAGCACCAATGATAGGTGATAATGGCAAATTTGAAAGGCAAACAGAGTGGGATTCTGAGACCCAAAAGCACCGAAACTTAAATACAACAAGCTGGAGATGGAGCTGAAACTGAAACCAAATTCTTGCTTAAAGTCAAGTTTTGGCCAAGAGAAACAGAATGCTTTGGAAGGCGAAAGGAAAAAGAACAAAAAACAAATAAGGAGATGCCTGCAAATGACTGTCGGCTGGCATTGAAATTAGCATTTTTACAAATCGTCGCCGGCTGAACTACTGCCAATTTCCCACTCAGTTTTTCCCCGCAAAAATTCAATTTAAATTTCTTAGCGTTTCGCCTTTTTTATCCCCTAAAATGTCACGCAATTAATTGTGTCTTGATTTCTGTTTCACACTTTTTTTGTTATACTTTTTGTGTGTGTGAAAAGGGTTTTCCTTTAATTGATAAAGTTTTAGTTAGCTAAAGCGGGGGAATCTACGGATTTTTCTTAAAACGGGAAAGTGCTCTTTTCAATTGGGTTTTGACTTAAGTATATTTTTACCCACAAAGAATATGTTTTTTATTAGTTAAATTTGAATATTTAAATTAAAGATTTCCCTTTAATTAATTAAACGAGAGTGAAAATGTTTTTCTAACTTTATGTTTAAGTTTAGTTATAATATTTGAAATGAATTTTGAAATTAAATACTAAAATCACAAGATAATCACGAGTTACTTATTTTATAAAATGCATTTATACGATACTCCTTTTGCAAGTCATTGGAAAACAAGGTCTTGTTTATTTTTTAAAATTGCATATTTTTTGCGTTTTATCTGATTTAAAACACATAAGCTTCAATTTCGACATTTAATCCCCTTGCGTTTCTGCAACTTTAACTTTCTGTTTTTTTCCACCCATTTTCGGATTTTATTCCTTGGGCGTCACATATAATTAATTACAAATTACGCGCATTTTTTGGTATGGACCAACTTTTCATCACAGGAAAAGCGGGAAAAAACTAGTAACTCCGTCTGCGGCTTTTCCCGCTGACCGCAGGCGCTAAAAGCCGAAGAACCGACGAAAAAATAGTGAACAAATGCAGAGGATAAAGGCAGTGGAAAGCTAAAACTTAAAAAAATAAAGGAATATATATACACTGACAAAAAAAAGGATTTTATAAAAGGACTTGTTTATGGGGCTATGACACTACTTTGTGGCTTCATTCATAGACGGATTCATTGGCGCGTAGAAAAATACAACTATATGGAGATTGGTTAGGATTTTTTTTATAATATAATAATTTCTTTGAAAGCATTGTATTTTTTATTTTCTAGCTTCTACGAACAGCCCTTTATTTATTTTAAAAAAAAATTTTTGTTCTTTGTATTTTGCTCATTGGAATTGCCAAATTTCCATCTTGCTCGCACTTACGTAAAATGTAGTGTTATATCTCTATTAATGGCGTTCAAATTAAATGTGTTTAAAAATATTCTTACACTAACTTTTGTGTTATTATTCAATCATAAAAAAGGTACAATGAGAAAAATGTTTTTAACATCGAGTATCTAATTGATTTGAAGCTGTTTTTTATCTGTGTGCGGGAGTATAAAAATCATGGTTACTGCCGGAGTTGTTGGAATCAATTAAGTCACCCGGGGGACAGGACAGCAACAAAATGGCCATTAATGGCGCTATCTCGCTCCCGCCATTTGGCCATATTGCGGTTTAGCTTACATTTCACATCCGGCGGGTGGATTTCAGGGGGGTGGTCTTACGAACGGTGTCCTATTTGGCAATTAATTTGCATATCATTGATATGCACACACAACACAGTAACAAACACGCACACGCACATGCACATGCACATGCACATGCACATTCACATTATATTTGCTTAGGATTATTATCGGTTATTAATGTTGCTGTAATTGAAAATTATTTTCACTTTTATGTTTATCATTATCAGCTGCCATTACATCCCACATACCCATCTGTGTAGCAGCAGCATTATGTGTTATCGTCGCATGGGAATTATTGTTTGCCGTGATTTAAGTGCTTTAAATATGCACATCTGCATGTATTTAATATTTATGCGGACAGGGGACGAAGCGTGGGCCACGACCATGCATAATTATCAACTTTATGGGAATAGTTTTGCTACCAGTCAGTCGGACTTTCTGGGGTTTTGCCATTGGGTTTAGTCACGCCAACAAATCGTCCATTGACACATGTAAAATTATAGATTTAGATCCAAAAAGCTGCGAGCTTGTGCGATGTGTTCTCTCATCAGTTCTGAATTGATGTTTAAACGTTAAAATAAAAAAATTCTTATGTATTTTGGGGTCGTCTAATTGTGTTTAATATTGGCTATAACAAAGGGCTGAAGTATAAATATTTGAGACTAAAAAAAACTATAGAGTTCGAAACTTGCAAAATTTTATTCCTTTCAACAAATCTAAATAGTGATTTTCCCCAAAAAAGGCCTATTTAATTTTACATTAAACTTGTAACTTTTTTTTATTATAAAAACCAAACACCTGCAAAATAATACTTCAGTTTTGGTTTTGAAGATAGCTTTGATCTCATAAAATAATATGTAACAGCAATATATATTGAGGCTGACTTCTAAATAAGTTTGTTTTACTATCCATTAAATTTATGACACCCTCTGGAAACTCTACCTCGGAGCATTGAAAGCTCCGCGCAAATCAAAATTAATGATACGATTTAACCGCACTCGCTGGGGAGTAAAAACAAAAGGCCAACTGTTTTTAGAACGAATTGCAAACAATAACGACCACGCGCTGTAAATATTTAATGCGGGAAAGGAAAGGAAAGTATTTGTGATTGTCGCGCCGACGTGAACAATTTGGCACTTCATTTTTTACAATTATCAGACGACGGGCAGACAATCAGCGGCAAACAGGTGAGGAAAACGCGGAAAACGCGGAAAACGCGGAAAAAAACGGAAAACTGGCAAGGTGAAAACATAATTTTTACACAATTAAAGTGAGTCGACAATATATGCGCACGATTCAACGAGCAGGCAGTGTATTATTAAGTCAAGCAACTTTTGGAAGTAGTGGGAATATAGTAGCTATATACCATATTATCTATTTACAATTAAATATATATATATAACCTAAATTTATTTAGTATTATTACCACTGAAGACCTTTTTTTTAATAAGCAATTTTTATTTTTGCTGTTAGATATTGGAACGAACTTCACAAAGCTTCAAAATAAATAAGAGCGTAAAAAGCTTCAAAAATAAAATGTATGACACACCAACAACTGAATGAGATACAATAATAATGACGGATATTTATTTAAGTAACTCTATCAATAGATTATTCAAAATTTATTGTATCATTCCCTGAAAATTTGTTTACTATTTTGTTCGTTTTTTTCTTTATTTTAATTAAATAATAAGAATATTGAAATTTTTGGTGACTGGCACATTAAATAATAAGTTGTACTTATACAAGTACATCCTTGAACTGGATTTCAAATAAATAAAAATTTAAAAAAAAAATTTGAAGTTAACTTAATTAAACAAAATTTAAAAACCTATTTCTGTATTTAAATACTTGAGTTATGATAAGTTTTATAAACATATAAACAAATATACGCAATATAAAATCAACGAAAATTGTTTTGCGCAACAAAATTTTGAATAATTTAAAAACGTTATTTTTAAACAATCGGGTTATTATTAAAGCCGCTTTATATATTCGCTACGTACTGTACAATCACTTTGAACCGATTTTGCACGAATCGCAATATCAAAAGGATCAGCTTGCAAAATGTAAATGTGAATGGGAATTGTAAGGAATGAGTGAGTCAATTAAATCGCCATTGAATGGCCAGTGTTCAGTTTTCGATGTAGCCCCGTTGTCTTTTGTTTATTTATTTATTTGTTTGTTATTTATACGTTTTAATGCCAAATGGCAATTGGCAATGGCAACAATGCAATGTGCAAAATGCGGAATGTAGTATGCAGTATGCAGTATGCAGTATGCAGTATGGTAGCCATGACAGTGCATTAAGCAGTCTCCAGCAGTTATTAATCGCCTGATTTTCCGATTTTCCCGCTCTCCAGCAGGGGGTTAAATATACTCGCGTTACGGCGGCGAAACAATTATCAAGTCGGTTTGCGTTCAATTGCCCGCCGGAATGTGTCCGTCCGTCCGATATCCGTTTCCTGTTCGGCGCTGCACAACACTGATTACAGGGTTGCACTCAGGCGGACTCAGGCCTTCCGCGATAAGCACCCGATAAGCTCCCGATATCCCCAATAAGTCCTCATCAGATGGATCTGGACAAAAGATCTGGTTTTTTACATCAATACTCCGAAAGAAAATATTACAGACAAAAAATTGTTTAAATTATAATTTTTAAAATGAAACCTTTACTTACACATGCAAGTGACATGCAAGTCTTTTTTACGTATTTAATAGCCAAAAATATAATTCACGGTTTATGTAGCATCATATTTTGTAACTATTTATTTTAAGGAAAAAACAATTTTTAGAATTTTGGTCAAAAATAAAAGTTTGAACACATATTTTGGTGTGGTCGAATATTCTATGACGAATTTAACGCAATATAACATTGAAAAAGTTGTGAACAAAATTTGACAAAAAAAAAAAACAAAAAGTTGCGCAAAATAAGGCGCACAGCAAACAGTCTGACTTATTTGTTCAGGTGGTAAACTAAAACCGTCTATTCCCGCTTAATTAAAAAAAATATTTTTTGGCAAATTTTTGCATTCAATTGGAAAATTTATAACACCTTCACCGATTCTAAATTTTAAGCATTATTTCTCAGGAATTGTATTAAAAACTCATTTTTTCTCTTTTTTTTTTGAGTTTTTTGAGTTTTTAGAAAGTTTTTTTACTTTTAAGCTTATCATAAATAATTGGTTTAAATTAGTCGCACTGCCTAGAGACTGACACGCTTGATTTCTAAGAAATGATTTTCTGCTAAGATCGGCAGAAACTTATCCTTTTCAGCTGTATCTGCCCATTGATTTGGAATTTTATGACGAGTTTAACGAGGTTTGCCATTCTACATTTTGAACAATATTTCACTGGGTTTTGCTTAAAATAAATAATTTGGATTTCTCAGATGTTTGTCTATGAAAACAGTATTCCGAAATTGCCTTCGTGTTTTTTCGTTTTTAAATGATCTTTGCGTTTTTTTTTCGTTATTTAGTACTTCCGATCCCTTTACCTTCCATGAGGAAAACGACGACCAGCAGGTGAATCAGCATTTTGCCATTCCGATCCAACTTGGCGAGTTGAAAATTCCGAGATAACCGTTTCGCCGTGACTCGCATTTGGTATCAACAATTCCGTAAAGACATTTGCGATCGGCACGCGAACAAAACAGTTTCACTGCACAGAAAAAATTCAAAAAAATATTCACTTGAATGTATGTGCTATAATGGTTTTTATTTTCGTAACTATTAATTTTTAAAATATATTTTTTAACGACGCGAGTTTTCCGTTTAAGCAGTAGCAGCGACGCTGACAGAGGCTTGCGACAGGGTTCGAGTTCAGTTTCACCGTTTTTCAACCAGCCGACAGCGCCGACGTTGATCAACTGAAGATGCAGCTGGCGAAATGGCCAGCCTGCAGCCTCCGGGACGAGCGAATACGAAGCTCCCGTCGGCGGAGGCGAAGGGACACGAACTCGGGACGAGGCGACCCGAAGCTCGGTCGTAACCGTTAGCCGTTGGATACTGTAAAACCGAGGTGGCGCCCCGAACGACCTGCTGACGAGCGCTCGTTGCCAATTGTCGAAGTGGATGTTCGAATCGAACGCCGTCCACCATGTGCCGCATGCCATCCACATGGCGGGCACGTGGTGGAACGCAGGACTCGATGGTGCCAGCGGGGGGATGTCCTGGCGGCGCAGGCGCCGTGTCCCTCGGAGGAGGAGTGTCGTCCGCATTCATCTGACAAATGGTACGACAATTGCTACAAGCTGTGGTGGCATTTGGCCACCGCCTGCCAGAATCTCCTGCGGCCACAACATCCAAGTGGCATGACTGACAGGCGGGCCCCACGTTGGGCGCCAGTTCTTATAAGCTGCAGATTGCGACAGGTTTTTGGGACCCACGAGTTCCAAGGGTCAATTAAGTAGGAACACTGGTTTGATACAATGCTGGCATTCAACTAAATCATAAATATGAGAAGCTCTCATCTCCCAACAATTTAAAAATCGCTTCATTCGAAAAAGCAGTCAGGTGGTAAGATGTTGGCTTAATTTCTAGTTCTAGTTTCTCAGAATGGCAAATATACACATTTGCTCAGTCTCTTAAAAGTAAACCCCCTTTTTAGTATAAAATAAGAAATTTAGCGAGAGTTAATAGATTTTCCATATAATAGCTTTGCCATAACATTGACTTTTTAGATTGTTCAAAAGAATAATTTTCTCCTGTTGATTCATTTTTCTCCGAAAAGCTGCGGCCAAAGTCAAGTAGCTTGTAATTTGGATCTATTTCATCGTTATTTTTTATGATTGGCTGCGAATCATAGATTAAAAGCACAAAAATAACTGAAGAAAGTACAGAGGAAAGAATGTTAGGAAAATAATTAATTTCAAACAGTTCTGAAAATGCAATATAATATTGATTTTTGTACATTAATTAAACGCTGAACTTTCGTTCCTAATATTTATTTAAATCGCTTCAACTACGTACATGTGTTTAATTTCATTGATCTGTATACTTTTCTATAAATCTGTATAAATCATTTTCAGTTTTCGCATATTCATGGCCAATTACTTCGCACCGAAACCCACATAAATTGTCTGTTTCGAACTGGCCTCCAGCTGACATTCGGTGGTTGATCAAACACCCAACCAGCCAACTCTCCCTTCCAACTGCCATTTGGCCATCGAAAGGAGCAACTTTGCCAACGACGGGCGGAAAAAGTTTCGAATTGCATTCTGCATTCTGCATTCTGTCAGATAAGCAGGCGTCACAATCCCGATCCCAATCCCAATCCCAATCCCAATCCCAATCGAAATCCCAATTGACATAATTTTCAATATTTGAATGTCGGGGAAAATAGGAAGATTGCACACTGGAATTTAATTGAACTTTAACTGTCAGTTTTTTGGGTCCTCGGAGGCAACCACATCCTTGGCCAGGATGTGACAGGAGCGAAAGTCAGGGCTGTCAAAGCTGCCACAAAGTGGCTTAATTATCCAATAGGCGGTAGGGTAGATTCTCGATGTGCGGGCTGGGCTGCGTATTTAACTTGTCAGCGAATGCCAGTCATCTTAAATTGTGGATAGTGGTGTCTTCAACTTTTCCGCTAAATAACTCAATTACGCCTCTAAGTTTTTGGCGATGGAAATGGGTGGGCTGGAGCTGGAGCTGAATCTGGATGTAAGGCATAATTATGCCATTATGCAATTTTTACCACCCGATCCGCTTAAATGAATTGCAGCTGCTCCGCCATCAGCTGGAATGCGCTGAAATGCGCTGCAACAAATCAAAGTGCGATTCTTTGAATGCCACGATGAAAACTTTTCGGCAATTATCCACAGAAAAAGCGGAGAAAATGGAAGACAATCGCAGGCAGTATGATGGAAAAGTTAAATGAGATTTGGTTGCCCCAAAAAAACATATTAATATAAGTTAATTTTGTAAATGACTTTATGCTTCCTTTATTCTTTATTGTAATTCAAATAAATAAAAATAGTTGTCTTATCAAGCATGTTTTAAGTTTATTTTTTGAATAATACCGTAAAAGCTTTCCAAATTTGTTATTTATATCTTTTCTTACAATAACAGTGAAAGCTTGCTTGTTTTAGCACAAGTGAATGTCATTTTGAACAAAAGACTTTCCGGATCTCAGTTTCAAAGCCCCCAATTTCATTTCGGGATTATTAACACCTATAGAAATGGGCACAAATATGTCGTCACCAACACACATTGTTAACTAATCCAGCTCTTTTGCCTTTACTCTTTTCTCTGCAAAACTTCTGGGACAACGAAGAAACCAAAACCAAAACTTTTGTTTCTAAAACTCGTGTTCCAAGTACCCTGCACAAAGGGGAACATTCTGGGCGAAGATGGGGCCAGGTGTGTGTGAATTTTGAATTTGAAAACTCCCCCCTTTCGTCCTTGTCTGGCAGACACCTGCTGGAGCTGTAATAAGTATGCAGCGACTATAATACCTAGCATATCCTGGAAGCGGACGAATGAAGGGATATTGATTTCTTTTTATCCAGGGAAAACATATACAAATTGTGTAAAATCATAAACAAATCACTTTTCAAAGTGTTGAATCTTTTATTAATTTTGTAATCTTGAAAATGTAATTCCTCTGTTTTTTACTGTGACTAGTTCCTTAAAAATAAGTTGTGCTTTACTCAAATTAAATTAAAACAAAAATGTATACTAATTGCAAAAATCATATTGTATACATTTCCCTATACTGGCAAAGGCAAAAGTTTGTATTCGGTTCTCCACATCCTGTATGTGTGTGACTAGATCAAGTATAAACTTTGTTTTAATACGAATGGCCAGAATTTGTATAAAATTAAATAAATTAAAAGTAAAAGGTATATTTCAGGCCTCTAAAAACAGTCCTCAAAATCGTCCTTGTACTTTGGTTGTTAAGTGTTGAAGCGGGCGAAAGTTGGAGGCCATGTAGACAAGGACGAACGTGGTTTGAGGGGGTGGAGGAACGTGGCAGGAGCTAGGAAGCAGCTGCATGTGTCGCGTACGTGTGCGACAACAAAAACAACAAACACAGCAGTACTGCGAACAAGCGACAAAAGTGTGACCAAATGAGCGTGTGAGTAGCTGCGTAGGTGTGACGGTGTGACTGTGTGACTGTGTGCCTGTGTGCTTCTGTGTAAATCGCACATTTCAATTTGCATGTGTTAGCGACAAACTTTTGATAAGTGTTACTCGCATTACAAACGACAAAGGGAAGGAAAAGGAGAGCAGATCCACAAACTTATTGTCAAACACGAACAGGAACCATCACTCCCACGCCCATACATATGCAAATTAAGTTCCCACACATATACACACACATACATACATATATATCAATAGTTTTGAGACACTACGTGCTCGGCGAATTTCGCACAACTCGGGATCGATGGATAATGAAATTGCACATGGCATTAAGTATTATTAGGGCCAAATATTTCAAATTGCCTGTAAGATTGTTTTTGATGCTGAACTAATAAAATGTGAAACAGGAAATAGCAATAAACACAAGGAGTTAATGTCAAGGGTTGACCATAAATGCATGTTTATGGAGCTGCGGTTTCTCACAAAGGTATAGTCACAAGCTTTGTTCCCATATATTAACTATGCTTATAACACATCTATAGTTAAATCAAATCTTAATATAATTGTTTTTCATGATGTTTCCTAGTTCTATCGTTACATAGAATGTCAGAATAATAAAATACATTTTAGGCTAACATAAATTATAATTTGTCTGCAAAAATATACACTTATTATATTTTATTATATAAAATTTGGGGTAACGTTAATGCACACATGTTAAATGTATTTATTCAAAGCTAATTTTTTTAAGAAATTAGTTTTTTATGACATTATTTTGTTGCTGAATTCATCAAGGAATGTATAATTTAATTGCTGAATGAATTGGTTCGAAAACTAGTGAATTAATAGATTTGATATTAATTTGTTCAAATTTTTTACTACTTTCGTAATCAAAATAATAATTTAAGTTTTTTTCATGAATATTCGTTTGAATTGACATTAATTATTGATAAATTCGCAATCCAAAACGAACATATAGGGGGCACCTGCGGATGTGCTTCTTCCTTGCGCCACCAACTAAACCGAATGCAATTTCCCAAACCATTTTCCACCCACTTTTTCTCGTTGAACGTTGATGAGTGCTCCTCCGGTTATCTGGCATCCATATCCCCATGTTAACTGTCGCCTTTAGCGTTGTTCGCCTGTTGACTAACTGCGGGGAAAAGCGGGAAAAGCTGGGAAACTGGGTGGCACTAAAGGGAGTCTGTGGATGTGAGTCCTTACAGAATTATGAACATATCCTGTGAATTGAAGAACGTCATCAGGGACAGACAAAAGGCGAAACAAATTGAGAGCACAGCATATGCTTTGTATGGCCCCTCTTAAAATGACACCCACCTCCCTGTTGTCCATTTAGCTTTTTTTAATCAAAACATGGGAACGAAATTTTAAATTGCTTTGCAAACTAATAGCTTATTTAAACATTTATAAATAAATAATTTATATATAATTTATAACTACAAAATATGATTGAAAGTATACATATCACGAGAATCAAGTGTATATAGTATTTGTAACATATATATGTTAACAATAATTTAATTAAGTATAAAACATACATTACAAATATTTCTTTCATAAAAGATTTATAAAATTGACTTATTGTTAT